CCAGACATTTCTGAAAAAAAATTTAAATTCCAACATTCCAACATCTTCAACATTTCAGTACATAATTATAACCAATGCTTCTCATTTTTATATCTCCCCCTCCTACATTTATACAATTCCATCAACAAAAACATTAATTTACTCCAATGACCTCCTTCTATAGGGCAAAACACATTATACTGAAATTTTTCCACTTTATCTTTCATTTTCCTAATATTTATTTATTTTCATTTAGTATAAATGTTTAGTGGATGTTTGTGTGAACATGCTCATTTTTTTTTTTAGATTTAGAGAGTCAAAAATAGAAAATGTACCTGTTTGCAGGGAATGAACCTATTTTCACTTATTCTCAGAAAAAGACAGGCATCCTTTTACAATTCAGCCACAGAAGTCTGTGCAGTAAAACATTCCTGGCTAAAAGGTGGCTTCCAAAGATAAAGCAAATACAAGCTAAGCTTGATCCTTTCTATATTTAGATGGACATTAATTTCACTGTTGGAAAAGACAGAAATGTGTTCTCAAATATATGTATCCACAAAAATAAAGATTAAAACCAATTAATAACTTATATTATCATGTATTTTTATGTATATTTATTAAATAGCATATCCCTTTGTGATAGGTTCCATTTTTTCTTCTCATATCTGTAAACTGCCATGACTTTTTGAGAAAGATAGTGGTGTGGTTTCTTGATGTCTTCTCCATGGATTCCTTTCCTTTGCTCTCATTAAAATACCTTACTTTAGCCTTTTTATCTCTCTCTTTCTACCCTTCTCTCTCTATGCTTCTCTCTCAACTAATGAGAAGGCAACCCCCGAAACAAAAAAATGTGAAAGAAGAAAGGACTGATCAATTGCTGTGAAATGGAACCGTCTCTAGTTATTGTGACTAGAAATCTACCATAATAAGAGAGGCTTAATGCATAACTTCCACTATAAGAAAAAAAGAAAATGAAAGGAATGCTAGAAAATAAATAAAAGAATTTTGGCCAATCAAAAGAAGAAAGAGACTTTTGATGTTAGCTGAAACCAAAAGTGTGAAGAAACTAAGCGGTCAACTGCTTAAGACATTTTTCCGCTCTTTGTGAGGGCTGAGAAAACACAGTATTCCAAAATAAACACATGCCCGACTACTACCAAAGTCTGACATGTAAACTATCAACTACCCAGCTGAACAAATTTTCACCAACCCAAATTACAAAGGACTGGCACCAACAAAGTCAAATAAATAAACATTTAGCACCCCAATACCACTTTCTTATCAATGCTGAATTTTGTGCAGATCTATGCAAAAAGTGGATCTAAAAGGTTACCCAGCTTCACACATATTTTCAGGAAATCTCAACTTTTAATTGATCAATAAACACACAAATGGGCATTGCAATCCACCCATTTACAAGTCTTTTTCCAGCACATGACCAAGTCAAGTTTTCCCGCTTCTTTTTCCAGGAGCCTACCATGTGATGAAATTAATTATAAATGAGTTTGTTCTCTCTTTCTTCCTTGATTTCTTTTGCTACAAAATGTAGTTGTAAAAAGGATTTGCATCTTGACCATGTGTGGTCAGACGCTTATGAAAACATATTCACACATGCACATATGTACAAAATTTTCCAAACTATGTTACAAACATACGAAACATTTCCAGACCAGCAACAAGAACTTTTCTTTTTAAAATACTCTGATCAAGCTTTCACACACAGCTTTACAAAAAAAATTGTAATATCCTGTATATAAAAAATATATTTGTTGTTCCAAACTTATATCAGCAAGACATCTTGAAATTTGAAACAGCTCGAGCTTCACCATTCTTATCTAAAGCTTGATAGATTCTTTCAACAATAACCTCAGACGTTTACGTAGAGAAGTGAAAATCATATTGCATATCTGAAAGAAGACCCTGCAATCTAAGATGTTTAACCAATTTAGAGTTAATTACAACCTCTAGTACTTTGCCAAAAAGAGGTAGAATACTAATGGGCTGATAGTTATAAGGATCAAATGGTTCTTTAAGACTGGAACAAAAGAAGAGGATTTCTAACAAGCAGGAAAACAAGAAGCAGCAAGGCATTTATTGTAAAATTTAGAAAGAACAGGAGCCAGTTCAGGAACACATTTCTTAAGGACTATTGTAGGGATACCATTACATTCACATGCTTTGTAGGGTTCAAGTTTAGAGATGATATCTGAAACCATGGACAGAGTTATATGCATATCACACAATAGAAATTCAGTTCTAAGTGGAAAATCAAGCAAAGATACTCCAGATAAGTTAAGAGTAGAATTGGAACAGAATTTACAAGCAAAACATTCTGTTTTATCAGCAGAAGTTATTAACACCTAAAATTAAGTGAAGAGAAGAGGAATAGAAGACTTACTCTTATTTAAAACACTATTACAGAGCTGCCACATGAGAACCAAACTTGTTAGAGTCTATACAGTGCTTCATTCTATCAGCAAACAAAGACTTAGCCTCTTTGAGGACATGTTTACAATTATTATGAGCAGCAGACATAAAGAAGCATCAGTTTTGATTTGAACTATCATGGCCAGAAAAAGTGATTCCTGTGGACTACAGTGAATTAACAGGCAGGTGTGAACTAAGGAGAAGATTGTAGTTTTACCTGGATATTTCCAAGAAGTTACAAAAGCATCAATGCTAGTTTAACCCAAGAAGAAACATCAATGGCACAATTCTCAAGGTTAATAATATCAATCCTAGTGGTGTCTTGAAGAAAGTCACGAAAGGAATCCCAGTTATTATGCTGGTAACAGAAAGAAGCATTGCGAATTGGAAATGCCTGTCTAATAGACAACCCAAAAGAAATATCAGCATATACTACAATGTGATTTGAATTGCCAAGAGAACAAAGTTGAGATGTTCAACAAGAGCTAGAAGACGAGTTAAGGAACAAATTATGTAAACAAGCTAAACTGTTTTTTCTAAGATTTCTCTCTCTTTAAAACTTGTGTTTGTCATATTCTTTACATCCATACAGTATTGCATGCTGGGATCATCTTAGCAGGCCAGTGTTATCAAGAAGTCACCTCTCTGACAAATCAACCATGGTGAGATTCAAGCTCAGGTCTCATTGTTGGATTGCTAACACCCTAGCCACTCAACCATGTACACAATGGTCTGATACCCATACAACAATGATAATTCCTCATCCCCAAAATTCCAATATCTGTCAGGAGGTTTCTATTAGTATATGAGGAGACAAAATAGCTCAAATGATGCCAGCTTTATACTCCAATCATGGCCAGTGCATACTAGCCTCAGCCCTTTGACTGGGGGCCACCCAAGTCTGATTGGGGGCTCCAGGCAGTACTTTGTGACCCTTGCTGTCTTAACACCACCTGATTTTTTTCTATCTACATTTATATATTTCTCAAAAAACACTATATAAAACTCATTTTTTATCCATAATGTTGAATATGTTAAAATTATTCAACTTTTTAACAAGAAAAATCTCAAGTTGACATAAAACATTGTTGATTTATTTCAGAAGATGGAATGATCTATTATAACATGTCTGTAATTTGTATTTAGATACATTGTATTTATTTTCAATATTTTTTAGTTGAATTATTCACCTAAATTGCATATGATCCATTATTGTACATAATTAAGTTACAATAAAATTTGTATTTTATATGAATGCTACCTTATGTAGTAGTAGTGTGTGTGTGTGTGTGGGGGGTCTGTATCATAGATACAGTAGGGGTCCAAGAGACTCTTGCACCAACCCTGACGTCAATTTTGTTAGTAATTAATGTACATTATACATTATAATATAATGCCCTGAGAGAGAGTCTTTTTACTGGGAATTATATTAAAAAAGGATATTTCTGTTTTTGTTGTTAGAATGTGAAAAGTATTTTAATATAAATTTTTGCCCAAATATCTTTGCCATAAGCATGACAGATTATATTTACACAACAATCCTTTCTCCTTATAACATTTCTTCTTTCACTTTTTCTCTGCTTTTGTTTACTCTACTGTATTCCTCATTCTATAAATTCTTATGCATGACACATCACTTGTCCAGACTTATTATACAATACCAGGTAACCTTCCTAATAAGTAAATACAACAAATATCAAATATCCCAGTAAATAAAACCCATTATGATAGCACTTTACATATCTTGTACTTATCAACAGCACCTTTTAAGAACATGCAATACAAGATAAGAACAATAATGAGTGATTTTAGATCATACATACAAAATATTTCCTTTTATTTCAACATTATTTCATCCTCTTTTTAGGTTTCAATAAAGGCAAAAAAAAACTCACACAAATAACTTTCCATTGCCAAAATAATAGATATTGAAAATTCAATTTGTAGCAATCATCTACAATAGAGATATATTTATCATTTATGGAGAAAAGAAATGTGATTGGGTGTCTATATAATAATATATAAGTGCAAATTAATTCTTTTTGTGTGTTTATCAAACTTCTTTTCAAAATTTCTCTTTTGAAATTTAAATGACTTTTTATATTTAAGAATTTTTTAAAGCTTTGAAATTATGGAAACATTTTAAAAAGCATATGGACAACCCTGCTTTAAAGATTTTTTATTATTAGTTTTGATTTAACAATGCATTAGTACAGTGCGAATAGTAATGATAATTATAATTAACATCAAAATTATAATTATCATAAGTAATAACAGTGACAATCATTTTTACTACTATTACATTTAAGTAATCAGTTATTACTTCCTGTTAGGTTTTATTCTGCTTAGGACTTTCTCTTTGTTACAGCGCTTCCCATTGGATAATCATTCCTTAGCTCGACCAATACATTATTTTAATACGGAAGTCTTATGATAGGACCAACTATGGCGCCTGACATACTAGTATGTTAGTAGAAAGTGATCGAATACATTGGGACATTTTTTTAAGAAACAAAACAAAGAAGAAAAAAAAGAACATCTAATTATTGAATTAAGTTTACACATTTTTTTTTTGTTTACTTCATTTGGGAATCATGACTTCTCTTCATTTTGTCGTCCATCCATTGCCAGGAACTGATGACCAACTTAATGACAGGTAATGAACGTTATAGAAGAAAATCTAAAATTACAACATAATGTAAAAATCAGCGCTGCCCATTTATTTAAAGAAAAAAAAATCTTAATACCCTTAAAGAAAATGTGATTTTTTTTTTAACCCTCTTGTTACAATTCACATCTGTTGTGTGTAAATATTGTAACAAATTATTTTTACCCTCCGAACACTTAAAAATTGTACTTATCTGTTTATACTTCTAAGTAAGTAGTAGTAGTTTCAGTAAATGGTACTCAGGAGAATTCAAATACTTTACCTTATTTTTTTTCTACGTGTATTTTTAACACTTTAATTTTAAATAACCTTATCCGATTTCGTACATATCAATCTTTTTTTTATAAAGATTTTGAAACTAGACAATACCTTCATAAAAGGGGGAAAATACGTTTGATATTGGCAACGCACGTGTAACGTTCATCATAACTATTTTTGCTCGCTGATTTATCTAACAACAATGTCTAATTGAATAAGATATACATTTTTATCTACTGATGATAGATAATTACTTGAATTCTAAGGGTTTTTTTTTTTTGTTTTTTTTTTACATTATTGTTATCGCTTTGATTGGCATAAGATAGCTATCCAAAGGTAACCTGGTTCTGTCTTACTACTATTAAATAATAATAATGATCTTATTTTTATTTCACTTTTTCTTTTTTTTAAAGTAGGACATTTTTTTTCTCTTTCTTTTCTTTTTCTTTTGCTTCTCTCATTATGTTGGAATTTAGCTGGATGTTGTAAGTAATTGTAGATAAACTTTACCGTTTAAAAGATGACGATGTCCTAGATTTATCTAAAACTTGCATATCATTCAAATTTTTTGCATACATACCTTCCTCCATTTTTATGGGTGTATTTCAATAGTGGTACCTTTCTTGTTCGAAAAGGAAGACAAGAATAGACTAGATTTAAAATGTCTTTTAGACTTTGTAAGCCTTGGCATAACGATATTTAATCTTGATATTTTGTCAGAAATGTTAGTTGAAAGTACTGGCTTTATTTATAAATAAACACATTATTTTTCTTATGTTAATGACTTCGATATTGGAAACAATACTTTCTTTTTTGTTTGTTAAACATCTGTAAGAATCGCTGAGTCTCTTTCATACCGTTAATGATTTTATTTCTACTCTTATCGTAATTGCCTCATTACTTTTAGAAATGGTTATCAAATTCATATTTTAAATTTAGTTATTTGACTGTAATTTACTATATATAATTATTACATATACTATAAACCAGTCAGTCACAGACCTAATGAGTTTAACCTTCACTAAAAAAACTATTTTATTTTTAGGTATCTCTTTCTTTTCTTTTTTTTCTCTTTAAAACTTGATTTCATCGAAATCTGACATCAAATGAGTTTAAATTCTATTATTTTTCTAGATAAATAAATCGGTTCCAAAGCTACGTTTCAACTCTTAAATCATGGCTATTTTTTCTTTTTATTATCATAATTAAAAATTATTTTTTTGCTTTACACTCGAACTTTATTGATGACTAGTTTTGTAAAAACTAGAGCTAAAATAACATCACAGATTATTAAATTAATTAGCAAAATCAATATCTAACGTGGGGGAAAGGTAACTTTTTTTTTTTTTTTTTTTTTTGGTAGCTACTACCAAGGTCCTTCTAGGAAAAACAATTTTAAAATTTTATTTCTTTCTTTAATAATCACATATCACGTCTTTAGTTCCTTAATTTTTTTTATTTGATTTTTGTTTTTGATCTCTTCTGGTCACCTCTGTAGTATACATGTGAAACACTAGTACTGGAATTAATAGTTCGTAAATTATAATGGTTTAAATGGCTTTAACAGAGCGAGTAAAGCCAGAGGTAATGTCATAGTGACCAGACACGATCTATGATGGTTGTGAATATGCAGAACAACTATAGCTTTTTTTTTTTTTTTTTTTTTTTTTTAAATATATGTATAACATTTAATGAGACATAGATCAGTAGATAATTAAGAAAAATGAGCCCCCCCCCCCCGCCGAAACTCAAAACTTATCTTTTTTTTTTTTTCCTTAAGAAAATTCGTTTCCTCGTCTTAAATGTCTAACTCTATTCCTATATTTAACTACTCTTCCGTTTGCTTGTGCTGTTGATGTTAAAATGTAATCTTGAATTATTAAAGCTGACTGTTCATTTTTAAATATTAGGTAGTGATTAACGATCATTTATTTTGTCATCGGTTAAGCTAGATTTATTTTTATATATGTCTCTAGCTAGTTTTAAAAGAAAATTCAATCTACACGTTTATACACCCAGGCTTTGTCCATTTTTATTTTAACCATTTCAGCTGTGCATTTGCTGCTACTAAATCAGACTGCTTTTCTTGTTTCTTTGTTTTTACACAATATTCGTTCACGTCGTAAGGAAAATATTTTAAAGCAAACTAATAATAATAATAATAGCATGTAATAAATGAACTAGGACTTGTTTTTAAGTGAAGTGCTTCTGTTTTTAATTCTTAAACCCTTTTTAGTTATTTTCAACATCCACTAAGTAACGAGGAAGGAAGAAGAGTGAATTGAATTTTAAGATGAAGTTGGTAATTAAATGAAACAGGTGAAAACGACATGTTTTTCTCGGCATAGTGAATTAATTGTACAAGATTTTTCTTTTTTATCTATTTAAAATTTGTGTATTCTAATCCTCATCACCATAAATTATTTTCACTTTCCCTTAAGTCAGCAGTTCCTTTTTTAACCTTCCCAGTATTTATGCGAAACGTTTTTTCATAAATTCATACTTTTTAGTTTTTTAGCAGTGGAAGTAAAAAAAAAAAATTTTTCGCTAATTAATGAGGAGCTAATTGAATGATTTTTGTTTAGTTTTATTGGAGAAACTCTTTCAAATAAGACATTGGATCTTGTCATTTTTCTGAAACCGATCAAGAAACCAAAAAATAGACGAAAATTTGAAGTTATGAAGAATTCTTAGGAATCCATTTTTCAAATCAACTTTCTGTAATTAGAAGATGATTAATGACTTTTTTTTATTTACTTTCTTTTTCTTTTTTTTTCACAAATGAAGATCTAACAGTTTAGTAACATTATTTTGGAAGTGTTGACCTAAAGATGCACAAAATTTTCCTAGTCGATAGCTTTTCTAAGTCACTACGGTGAATTCGAAATTATTTTTTTGTTTATTATTTAAAAAAAAATCTGTAGTTAATTAACGAATACGTCGTTTTTTTTTTTTTTTTTTTTTTTTTTCTCAGTAGTACTAACCTGTACTTAAATTAAAACAAAAAGTGATGATCCCAGATTTGGGCCGTCTTGAAGCTGTACTTCATTTCTATTACAAAGGAGGGGGATTAGATGCTAATTGCAGTTGTTGAAATGAGCATTTTTTTCATTTGAATATTTTAAAATTAAACTTATTTCTGACAGCTTAGTACTGTAGCTTTTTTCCTTAATTTGGATTTAAATGAATAAGGAAGATTTTATGTTTGTTGTTTAGATTGACAGATAATTTGAGTCAACTGATTTAATTTTCTCTTCTACCGTACAATTTTGACCTGTTTTTGTGCATGCCAATTCTTTTTTGAATTTTTCTTAGAGTTTCAGAAAGCAAATTGCCTTGATAGTTTTGTTTTCTAATGCTGTAGTGTAGTTTAACCCTTGTAAACTAAAGTTTGGCATTCATTTTTCAAGGTTTATCTTTTACTGCCAGAAACACTGTAAACATTTTGCTAAGTAGGTGTATTTTTTTTATTTTTACAAATTCTTCATCTACTCAAACTCAGTTAACCATTTGTAAATACTAGTTTTTTTTTTTTTTTTTTTTTTTTTTTTTTTGAAATGCTAACCTCTTAAGATTTTTATTATTAAACAGAAAAATAACTACTCATCAATTTAAAAATAGCTTCTTTTTTTTTTTTTTTTTTTTTTTCTTTCCAGTTATTTTTGGATTAGCGACATCAAATATCTTTACTTGTGGCTTTACATGTCAAACTAAAATTTTTAGTTAATTTTACTTTTGTCTGCCCAGTCAGTAGCTTTTTTTTTTTTTTTTTTTTCTTGTCTGTCATGGTGAATGGAAATAAAATCTCAGGAATTGCTAAAGTAAAACCAATGAGATTTCGAAACCAATCACGCTACCAGCATTTTCTCTCCCTCCCCCGTGTAAGAACTAGTTGATTTATTTTAAACAAAAAACTTTTCTTTTTTTTCTTTTCTACAAAATTGAATCGAATCAGAATTTGATCAGCTCTGTTTGGGTCAACTAGGAAAGGGGGTCCGATGTTGAACAATTAAATGACGATATTGTTATTAAACATGATTGACACCCCCATAACCAGAAAAACCTACTTTGTGACTACTTTTTTTTTTTTTTTTTTTTAAGATGGTTCTTGTGTTGACATAACTCGAACGCAGGGACATGTAGAAAAACAAAACAGGAATTTAATCATAACTTAGGTACCTCCCATAGATTCGCTAAAAAATGAGCATACAAAAAAAAAATTGCTCCAAACTTAGTTTTATCGTAAAAAAAAAAAAAAAAAAAACCCAAACTTTGTTAAAGACCAAAGGACATTTTTTTATTTATTTTCTTTATAATTCTCAGAACATTCGAAATTTTGGTTATTTTTTTTATTTTCTTTTTTTTTTTTTTTCTTGCATCAACGGGGGGAACCAGCCAAAGATCAGCATAGCAAATTATAGCCCCCCCCGGTGAAAAACATTAATTTAGAAATTCTTGCAAAAATCAAATTGTCGGATCTTAATGAAACTTTTTAATTTACAAATATACGAAGTTTATAAATGTTTATTTTTAGAAAATCTCTTACATCTGTTAACCTCCACTTTCTTAATTTTCTGAAATATCGAAATTCATTTTTTTTGTACTGCTTGGAGAATTTTTTATGTAATAGACCCCCCTCCCCCATAGTTGCCGAAAATCTGCTATGAATTGTAAAAAATAAACGCCTACCTATGTGTTAAAAATGCATTTCATTTCTACGATTTTAAACTAAAAGTAATGTTTTAAATCGGATTAAACTTTAAATCCGCTAATATTCCTAAAATAAAGTTTCTATAAGTTTTTTTATTTTTGAAAAAAATTTAATAAGATAATTGCATTGTATTGACGTATAGCTAAAATTAGCAATTTAAAAAAAAAAAAAATTCCTTCCTGTTAATTTAAATTAGTTTTGAAATACATCAAAGTATTTTGCCTTATTGGAAATATTAAATTAACTTGAAAGTAAAATAAATTCAAGAAAGATCTTTTAAAACTTTAAAAATTCTTTTTAGTCCTTGGGTATTGAGTTTCTTTGCCGGGACCTTTTAACTTAAAGGTCGCATGAGACCTGCATTAAGCTGCTCTTTTTCTCCTCCCTCCCCCTCTCTTCCATCCCAGCCATGTGTAGGTGCATATTGATGTATGACTAGGTAACTGTCTAGATTATTTTCTGCTTAGGTTAGTGTAGGCAATGAGATATATATATATATGTGTGTGTGTGTAAACTGTTTATTAAAAATCTGAAGGTCATGTCATACAGTCTTTAATGCTATAAGTTAACATTTGAGTTGGTGGAAATGAAACCATACTTAATGTATAACAATTAAAATTTTTAATAATAAACAAATACCCCCCCCCCTCGTACCATGACAGCTTCATTCATCAGGTGGTACTTGTGAGAGGAATGTATATTTATTATTAGTATAACTAATCAAGCACTGTTTTATCAGCACACTGTGTATAAAAACAGGAACAAAAACAAATATAGAGTTATGAATAAAAATGACTTGTAATGGCCATGATCTGAATAACTTAAGTGCTTTTTAGATCCTGATAAATTTGTAGAAAATGAAATAAAATGAATGTACTTAATAAAGCTACTCAGGGAGCTATAGTAAATCTTAAAAAAACTAGCAAAAAAATTGTAATCGATTCTATATTAATGTATATTAAATCTGTAACTTGCTACTGATCAGTTGAACTGGACAGACTGAATCAGGATTGTTGACTTTATTTGAACCATTGAAGAAGTAAATTATGCAAACTTTTTAACTTTAATTGCATCTTCTATTGACTCCTTAAAGATTTGATGCTGTAATTATTAACATAAAGGGTTAATCTTAAATAATTGCAATTTTGACTAATTATTGGTAAAGTTAGCAGTATTGGCAAGTACCATTATATACTTGCATATCATGCAGATTTTGAAGACCTAAATTTGAAGCAAATTTTAAGGGGGTTGTATCATACATGATATAAAATTAGTGTATGTACTGCTGGCACTTGGACATGCCATTGACCAAGCTGTTCATTTATCTTAGTTGAATTAGCTTCAAAATGACATCTTCAAAAGTTGGATGATATGTGAGTATATACAGTAAATTCCAGTTTGTTTAGTTGTATTGACATTGCACTAATGCCCTTGGGAAAGGCAAAAATCCATCTCCCCCCCTCCCCTGTGCTAGAGGTTAAATAGTACAGTAGAGTGAGACCTTTTAGCCTTGCATGGCAGCCAATCTGACAACTTTGGATTCAAAAGCATGTCCCACTAATTTCTTCTTTTCTCCTTCACTTATTATCCTGTTCACATTCCTTCCATTTTTATTTTATTTTTTATTTATTTATTTATTTTTTTTTTTTTTTTTTTTTGAGTAGGAGTAGAGGTTTATTCCTTGTTTCTGGTTCCTTTTAAGGTCTACTTCTAACATCACTGACTGAACTTTGGAATGTTATTGACTAATTAAATCTTGACCTTTACAAGTCTTGAGTTGGCTGTTATCTTTCCTGCATAGCCCTAAGAACTTCACTTCACTTGCCCTTATGCTCATACAATGCCACACATTAATCCTCTTCCTTGAGTGGCTCTTGAGCCTTGTATTTGAACATTTAAAAAAATTGACTCACTTGCAATAAGTCATGGCTTTTTACATGCACTAAAGAAAACAGTTGTGGAGGTCCCTGATTGTCTGAAGGGATATAGCATTAAAAAGAAAACGGTGATAAGGCTTTGTGGTATTAAAATTAGATAAATCAAAGTTTATTGCTTAATAATAGAAAATGTGCCATATATAGGATGTAGCAAAAATACCTCCAGCATAATGGTAAGATAGTAATTGCAATGGTATTTTCATCTAATGGTATTACCATGATGTGGGGAAGTATTTCTACTGCACTATGTGTATTTCTACTGCACACCAATTTTTCATGTGTTTGTGTGTTTAACCTGGCACTTTGAATGCATGTGTAAAACACACACACACACATATATATATATATATATATATATATATATATATATATATATATATATATATATATTATATATATATATATATATATATATTTTCCTATGAACAGGCAATAAGTCATTATTTTATTCCTTTTTGTTTTCTTTACAGACTAAAAGAAGTTGCTGAAAAAATAAGCCGGCATGGTTTCACTAGTCCACCTGCTCTTTCAGCTTTACGCAATTTAGTTATTGTACAGTGTGCTTTGGGACCCAATTATGTTGCTCTGTTATTGGAGGTAAGTATGTTGGTTATATATATAATATTCTTCTGTCACTGATTTAAAAACATTAGATGTATCAATTAGTAGAAATGACTCTCAGGACTTTAAAATAAGATTAGCGAAATAAGTCTGAGTAAACTCTTATAAGAGTGTAAAACATTTAATAAATTTAGCAAATGTTTTTATTTAAAATTAAACAGCTATATAAAACTCACTTTAAAATTTTGCTATTAAAGAAATTGCTTTTAACACAATTCTTTTGAATGTTAGGCATTAATTGGTTACAAGTAAAATCTAATACAAGATTTTTACTTTCCAGTTTTTATAATACTGGATTTTATGGTAGGAACTAATGAGTAACAGTTATTGGAAGAATTTGCAAGATCTCTGATGTAAATAACAGTTACTCTGCAGTTTTAGGGTTAATAATAATAATGACATTAAATTTATTTTTTATAATATTTAAATTTTTATTTTAACAATGTATTTGGGTTATTATGAATTGTATTTTACTTAAATTTTTGACTTGCGTTTAGATTTCTTCAATTATTGTTTGTAATCTTCTCAGTATTAATATTTTAATTTTTCCTTGTTATGGAAATGAAGTGTGCTATTAGGACAATATCTCAAAATGGCTATTCTGTTTGTAGGACAGTAGAGTGTGTCGGGTGCCATTCAACGTTCTCAATGAACGATTGGACCTAAACAAAAATGACAACAAAACGTAAGTATTTAACTATAAGTTCAAGTATTTTGATGGTAGCTATTGCACCATGTTAGCCGTTCTTAGTAGTGTTTTTATAGTTTTAACTTTCTGCATTTGCTTGACTAGAATTAACTTTGTAAAAATTGGGCCAGAATCAACTGACTGAGATTAATGTATGTTTTTTTTTTTTTTTTTTTTTTCCCACCCTCAAACAATTTTGGTTAGCAATGTTATAAATAAAATTGTCAGAATATAAGTTTACAATACTTTTTAGATAAATTAAAGCACTAGGTCCAAAAATTGATCTACTCTCCTATCCAGAATAGATAGAACAGGCTATTTAAATTTACCCACTTCCTTCTGCTAACCGATCTGACTTTTTTTTTGTCCAAAGAATTAAAATTTTTACCATTTGAGATTATTTTGCAAGGACCTGAATAAATTTGAATCTCGGGGAGCAATGTCTGGCGAATATGGCAGGTTGGGTTGAATAACACACCCCAGCCAAGCTGCAACAATTTTTGCCAGAAACGTGAGGTCTGGCACTATACTGATGGAAAACAGACCTTTCCTGTTTGCCAATTCTGGGTATTTTTCTTGAATTGCTGTCTTTTAATTTGTCCAGTTGTAAGCAGTACTTTTCAGACTCAATTGATTTGGCAGAAGCTCATAATATAGGATTTCTTTCCAATCCCACCAGATGCACAGCATGATTTTCTTAGGATGAAGACTTGCTTTTGAGGTGCCTAAAGTTGACTCCCAGGATCTTCTTTTGCTGAACATTGTTGTAAATGAGCCATTTATCATAACTCTTTACAATTTGCTTCAGAAGTGGGGTGCATTGCATTCATATAGCAAATCACAAATGAAATGCAATTGAAAGGATTCTTTTCACTCAGATCACCAAATGTCATAGCGATTTCAGTACCCAAGCTTCACTAAGAGCTTATGGATATTGGATTTTGATAAATGTAGTGTTTCTGCTAATTCTCGCACTGTGTAATGTGGGTTATTCTCAGTCAATGACTTTATTTTAGCCATCATCTATAGTGGGGAAGGGGGGGTTTGCCTAAGTGTTCATCGATAAAGCTACAATCACCAACTCTAAACTTAGCAAACCAGTTCTGTCAGCTAAAGCACCTTACACGGCAGAAGAAACGGACAACCTTTTCCAGGAGGATCTGTTGGCAGTAGCTCTCAGGAGTTCTGGAATTGTTATCTGTCCACACTTTGATGTTGTCTGACCAGCTTTTGCATTGATGTCTCTGTTTGCAACCACCTTCAACAGTGCCTTGCATGATGGTCTTGCAGCGGTTATTATGCCATATGTGGCCAAACCATGACCTCTTCTGACCTTTATAGTGGAGAGAAGAGACTTGTCAGATTTGACCTTACTCCATACAGTCATTGGTTTTGTGCTTAAAGCAGATGTGGAGGAGTTTTCTCAAGCATTTGTTCTTAAACACCTGGATCTTTCTTTTTTTTCTGCCTCCATCAGGAGTGTCAAAGTCTCAGACCCATAAAGTGGGATGGATATGACGTAAACTCACAATTCTAATGATATAGTGTAAGGAACAATTCTTAAAAATCCTTGTCATTAGATTAACATGTGATTCATTTAGTTAATGACCTTGTTGCATATTAATGAATTTATTTGCACTTGGACTGATCTTTATAACCTTTCAACCCATGTGCCTTTCAACCATCTTTAGGTGTCTCTCAATCTGGTTAACTTTCAGGGAATCTCAAATTGAATCCTTCACTTAATTGATGGCTGTTAGATTATTCTTGTTCCACTGTATAGGGTACCTTGTTTTTTTAGTCTTCAATTATTGCATGACCCATTTTCACTGTCTTCACTACCCACCCCAAGAATTGAACTCTCAATTACTATGCCATCAGATTCAAGAACCAATGTTTTAATCCACTATGCCATTAATAACATTTCTGGGTGTTAGTCTGAATGTAAACCATTTCTTGTTAGACAAACTAACGATTGATTTGATGTAAATTTTTTTCTCCTAATTAGGAAACCGGATAAAAGTGAAAAGACAGATCGAACAGCAGCACGCAGTAACACTTTTGTTGTGGAAAGTCCTTTAGTATTGGTGTCTGATGCTTTGGGATCGTCAACTTCCCAGTCTTCTGGGTAAGTCTTGGTTTTTTTTTTTTTTTTTTTTTTCTCCTCTCCTTTCTTTCCCCTTGTAATTTATGGCTTGTGTTTCAGCAAACATTGTGGAATTTATGTGAAACCTACTGCTATAAATCAGTGGACCTTCAAATGTTTATTTTTAATATGGTTTTACTTGAAATCATCTCTCAAAATGGCTATGTACGAAGACAATTTTGTGCATTACCTTTTGTAAACCTCAGTAAATGGGTGAGCTGCTCATTGCTTTTGGATATTCAAGCTAGGCTTTCATTTTCTGGAATGGACTTACAATTTCCAGTTTATATTTTGAATTGTGTAAATATTTTCTCCCTTCTTAATCATGAATCCCAAATAGTTTTACAAAGAAACTAAATCTATTTGTATTTCTGATTTTTTTTTTTTTTTTTTTTTTTTTAGCCGATGGGGCTCTGGTTCATCAAATTCTGCTTCACGTAGCAACAGCAGCAACAACAATAATAATAACAATAACAACAACCAACAAGGTTACAATCGGATGGCCAGAGCTGTTGTGAACAGAGGTCGCAGATCAGGTGTTATTGTTGGAGCTAGACCTTTAGTTCCTGCATCTGTGGTTCCTGAGGAACTTATTAATCAGGTGAATTTCTTTCTCTTTTTTTTTTTTTTTTTTTTTTTATAAATGAAAAATATAGGAAAAAAAACATTTTAATTCAGAAAATATATATATATATATATATATATATATATATATATATATATATATACACACACACACGGCTTTGTATATAGGTGTTTGTCTAGTTTGTGTGATTTTTCTTAACTACTTACTGTAGTTTTGGTTGAAAAATAAAATTTACTTTACCTTTCTTTCAGTGTCAGGTTGTATTACAAGGAAAATCGCGCAATCTGATTATCCGTGAACTTCAAAGAACAGTAAGTATCTTGTTATGTGGACTACTTCTACCCCCGCCACCCTGTTTTCCTGATTTTTCCTGTGTCTGGTAGTGTCAGTATCTTTGAAATTGAAGACTGTGTTTGGAGGTGACCTTCTGTCTTTCATTAAATTCCTTAATTTTTTTTTTTTTTTTTCTTTTTTTTTTTAAGCAGTAAAACTAGAATGACTTAATCCTATCTTTAATCCCTTTATAATCCTATTCTAAGTGTTGATTTTTAAAACCTTATGAATTCTAATGTTTTTCTTCTGCACAGAACTTAGATGTCAACCTTGCAGTGAACAATCTTTTGAGTAGAGATGATGAGGGAGAAGATAATGATGAGGACAGTCAGGATTCTTATATGCCAGGTAACTTTGCTAACTTTTTTTGTAAATTTTAACGATGTATTTTGTGGCTTTATAAAAACTCAATACTAAAGATTTTTGGGCTGTTGTGATGAGGCAATTAAATAATTCATTAAAAGTTTTCAGATTATAAAGAAAAACCTGAAATAATGACCTGTAATTCTGAATGGCACAGGGATTGAAAAATATTTCTGAAAATTCAATTTAAAAAATTGTCAAATTTCCATGTGATCAACACTATATACAGTACTCTTTACAACTTTCCATATAGCATAATCAACACTCCCCCCCCTAACACTTACAAAAAATTGGAACTTTTCTTTTTATTAATTGGTTCAGAGTATGATTACCTTAATTCATTGTACTATTCTTTAATGGTTATACATTTAAATTTAAAGTAAAGGAATAGTTATGTATTAAGGGGAACAAATGAAAAGCTTTTGTTATGCATATGTTAGGGTCTAAATTTCTGATATGAAGTGATCCTTATTTATGGTTGTGCTATTACAAATGGTATGTAAGAGTACATTATGGCTGTGTTTGTAGTTTTTTTTTTTTTTTTTTTTGTTATGTACCTCCACAAGATTGCTAAAAAAAAAAAGGGGGCATAGCATGATGAAAAAGATGCCAAACTTAACAAACAAAATTTTATTGTCTAAATGTTTATTATTAAGAGAAAAGATCAAAGTATTTGGGGGGGGGTTATGTTTTACTCTATTTTTTTTTTTTTTTTTTTTTTTTTAAGCATTCCTAGCATGTCCGAAATTTTTGTTAATCATTTTTTTGAGTCTGCAATAAAAAAAACTGGAAATCTCACTTTGAAATTCTTTTTTAATATCAATTATCATTTTTTTCAAAACTGATTTTAAGAAAATCAGCAATTATGTTTAACTTAGCTTCTGCGCCAAAAAGATGTAATTTGAAAATAAAACAAAGCAGGCCATAAACTTTCGCCTCACTTGATAGGTGATGAATGACATATTCACGGATTCCGTGAGGATAATTTGTTCTATGGAAGGAAAAAGTGAAATTATTTAGATTTAAGTGAACAAATTATTTACCTTGTTATTTTTAAGGAAAACTTTCAGTGCTCTATTTTTTTTTTTTTTTTTTTTTTTTTTTACTTAGCTTTCACCTTAACTTTATGATGATCTATGGAAAATATAAAGAAATTAAAATAAGACTGTTAAGAGTGAGATTAAATTTCATAAGAAAGGTATCTAATTAATTTATAGGTACCTTTCTTATGAAATTTTATCAGAAGTGTATATAAAATACTATGATTTTATGTACATTTATTATATTTTACTGTGTTATTTGTATTTCCATTCATTTTATTAATTTTGATATTTCATTTATGGAAAAATATCATAACTGAGATTAATATAAAAATAAGATCATAAATTTCATAAGATGATACTGATACTTGTAGGTACCCTTCTCAGTTGAAATTGAAAAATCAAATTAACTTCTCCACACGTGTTTCACAAAAGTAAAGGCCTTAAAAGCGGAGAACAATGCTTAATTCAAATAACGCAACTTAATTGTATTCTGGTTGATCTTCCATACTTTATAATTACACAATTACATTCCTTAATTACTGCGGATCTTCTGATTAGTCAAAATGATACAATTTACAACACACTAAAAAAGATTTTTCTCATAAAGACACTTAGGAAACCCGATGTGGCTTTAACTAATTTTATAATATTTTAACAACTTAAATGTAAGAATAATAATTAAAGAAATAACAAACAATTGTATTAAAAATTCATTTATCAAATTTTTTTGCTTTCAGAAAATATTGTCCATATCCATAAAACCAACTAAAAGCAAATAAAAGCATTTGAAATTAAATAATATATTTGTTTTGAGTTTTGTATGTTACAATTCAGAGCTGATTTTTAGGTAGGGGGTGTTCAATTAAAAACAAAAAACATGATTTGCATTCCTCCAAAGCCTTGTGCTTTTAACTATTGTAATCACTAAACTCTATGCGATCAAATTTCTAGTTTTTTCATAAAATTATGGAGGGTAATAAATATAAAAAATATTTCTGCCATGACGTTAATAAAAAAAAAAAAACAAAAAAACATTTATAATTTTGATCATCTGTGAATAGTTTCTGAAAGTTTCATTAACATCTGACAATTATTTTTATGTTTGCAAGACTTTCCAAATTAATGTTGCACAAAAAAAATGTGCTAAAAATTGTATGTTATTTTACTAGTTCCAGTGATACAAAGAGAAACAAACAAAATTCAGATTGTTCTAAAAAGGGAAAATTTTAAAAAAAAATAATTAAAATAAACTTAATAACAAGCATTTAGATAAAATTTTTTTCATCAAGTTTGGCGTCTTTTTTTCATCAAGTTTGGCGTCTTTTTTTCATCATGCTATGCTTTTTTTTTTTTTTTTTTTTTTTTTTTTGTGATCTCATGGAGGTACCTAGATTAAATATTCAAACCAACATGAAAACTTACCAACTTCGAGATGCTCATCAGAAACAAATATAATACATCCCTCTAAAAACTGAAAGTAATAGTAATACAAGCCCTAATAATAAAAGATAAACAAAATGAACCCTTAACATCTGTATGAACATGGCCATGATATCTTAGCTATTCTTGGGGAATTAAAAGTTTCTACGTGTTAGCAACCTACACACCATTTGCAATAGCATAAAGTCCTTGAAAATGAATATTCATAAGCAGAAAGTGCTCAGAACCATCAATCATTTGGGAATATCTTCATCTTTATCAATGTTTTTGTCATAACAGATTAAGACATCAGTCCAAATGTAAATAATTGTTGGATCTGAAATTTTTTTCCTGATATGAGATTTTTCTGGTTTTATAAAGTTGCAATCATCACAAATTATAAGTTAGGTAAGTGTATTGAAGAAAAATTAACCTTCAGTAGGCCAGAGACTGGACTGTTCAAAAACTTAGGTAGTTAAAAATCGACCCAAGTTTTGGACAGTACATGAAAATTGTTAATATTTGTGTCCAACTTAATCACTTATTTACATATGTAATGAGGAATGCTAAACTTGTCAAGTCTTACTAAATATTTTGGAATTGAAAAAGAAAACTTTTTTTTTTTTTTTTTGTAACATTTTACTAATTGGAGTAGAAAATGACTAATGTATCTTGGCATGTGTGTGTGTATGTTAATACTGAAGGCCTATTGGATCTCTTTTAGTCCCAACAAGAGAAATCTTTAAATGCTTATTGCTTGTAATAAAAATGCTAATTATGGACCTAAGGCTGCTTTTCTATTATTAATATTGCAAAAAGCATAGTGTTTGTAGTTTTCTTTCGCATGTCTTTTGATAACATTTTTATCTTGTAGTTGCTTGCTTTTTTTTTTTTTTTTTTTTTTTTTTTAACTTATCTGCTTGCCTTCCTATTCATGAATATTATTAAATTTCCATTTGTCTGCTTCCAAGTGCGTTCATCTGTTTCAGATGATCTGATCTCACTATTAGATGCTGGTGCTGATCACCCGAGTGTGGTCATCGATGCTGATGTCATGTTCAATGAAGACATGTTTGGATATTCGTCACTGCGAAACAGAGGATCAGGAGCTCGCTCTAGACTTGGTGAGCATTTTATTCTCTCTTTACTTAGGATTTGTAGACCTCCATATTTAAATAAGATTACGTTTGCAAAGTGTCACTTAGAAAGATATTTTGTAATAGTTGCTTTCAACTGGCATACCAACAGAGATAAAAAAAAAAAAAATAAGTATATCATCATGCCCAACTGGGTACCTAGGTCAGTCTTAGTTGTTTAGGAGCCTAAACCAAGCTTGACTCTGCTTAGCAATAACACAAAAGATTTAGATATGTATGAAATGGTCTTTTTTTATAAAGACTTTTCTTGCTTTATTTCTCACTGTAATTTATGCTGATTCTGAAGCTTCAAACTTTGGTTTGACCTTTTGTCTGTCAAACTTAGTGGTTGACAAATAGAATAAATGTACTAATATATATATATATATATATATATATATATATATATATTACAAAACCATGGCATTCTATTGAACTTTTTTGTTTACTACAGTATGAATTAAAACAAATTACTGTGTATGTATTAACATAAAATGATTTTCAATAATGTATTCATGTTAATTGGAATTATCTTTGTGTCAGGCTTACAGTGAAAAACTATATTGGACAAAAACGGTTCTATACTTTTTTTTTTTTTTTTTTTTTTTTTTTTTCCCCCTATAGTAACCATTGACACTTCAATAATTTCTCATTTTAGCTGGTGAGAGAGAACGTGATATTGATCGTGACCGAGATCGGGAATCTATCTTCCGAATTAGAGATCGCAGACGATTAATGGAAAGCTCACTGCGGGAAGAAAGCATGAAAGCACTAGACAGCAAAAGTGACTCTTCCATTGGTGAGAACAAGAAAACTACAACAAGTCCTCCGCCAAGTCCTTTAGTTTTTGGTGAAGATTTGCAGTTCTGGACTGAAAAGGTAAATTCTCTCTTCACATTTTATTCACTCCCTTATTTTGTCAGTATGAAACGGCTCTGGTCAAATACTTGGACCTTACATTTGAAAGTCTGCAATGAATGAGACTGCCCAACTCCTTCTTTTGGGTGGTCTTTTACATAAGTGCATATATCGGGAGCATTTTCATATGCTTCTGCATTTGATGGCTGGAGATTCAGGTCCTATCTCCTGATGATCACACCCTTTGGTGCACCAGGCTTTTTTTTTTTTTTTTTTTTTTTTCCCCAAGATATTTTCCTTGGATTATAGTTTGCTGCACAACTGAATTAGTGTCAAGTTGATGACTTTTTCAACATTTCCATTCAAGGTGGAAAGGGTCGAGACAACTGCAATGGGTTCATGACAATGAAGGCATTCCACCTATTTGGTCATGCCTGAAGAAAGATGGATTCTTGCCAAACTATTCTTGCCCAAGACACTAAAGATGCAGTGTGTCTACTCCACCCCTGTATCCCAGTGACAGTAATATTAAAGAAGTATACCTGAGTAACTGTCCAATTTCCAAAGAGCTATTTCCCTTCAAAAACTGCAAATTCAAATATTCCTCTTCATATTTGTAGGAAACTTAAATGTTAAAAACATGGAACGAGTATTGTTACGCCATAGTTGCTTCTATAGGTATGCTAATTTAAATTTTGAGTCTTTAGTATTTACTAAAGATGAAGTATGGTGTTTTTTATTCAATTGAGATTTCATGCTTAATTCAGAATTTCATTTAATGGTCTTTTTTTTTTTTTTTTTTTTTTTTTTATCCAGGATGGTAGTTTCCCACGATTTTCTCACATAGCAGCTATGCACTCTGAACTTGTAGCTGTCAGTACAAATGGTCAACTCTATGGCTGGAAGTGGTCAGATTCAGAGCCTTATCGAAGTCTTGAGGTAAGTTTTCTTGCAGAGAAATTTTCTAATAGAATTAACTTCATTTTTGCCAAAAAAACATTAAAATCGTTTTCTTTTCCTAATGATTGTTTGTAATTTAATGATTATATTTATTAACCTGAATTTAAGAGATGTCTGCAATTGCAAAATAGATTGGGACTTTTCTCATATGCTGACACCTCTCCACAAGTGGCCTTGAGCACTTCAGCATGGTGTAATGGTTAGCAATTTTGCCTGATTAGATCAAGTATGATATGAGTAGTGAGTTCAATCCTTGCTGGGTGCTCCATGCTTTCGGCTTTGTGCCACAAGGAAGCTATGCTTACTAAAATTGCCCCCACTTCCAAGTTGGTCGATGTGGATTTATCCCCCACGCCTCTTAGACTGGTTTACAACAAGTCTAGAGAGCTCAGTCTGCCCTTTTAATGAAGAGATGGGTTAATACCCACCCTCCTTCATAAGAGCCTTTATGTGAAAATTAACATAGCTGTCGGTTAGAACATGGTTTGCCAATTTCTTTCAATGCTGCTACCTGTGCATTTTGTTAATTTCATCTTTGTCTATTTAATAATAATTGTCTGTAATTTAGTTCCAATACTTGTTTTTGTTAGCAACCTTGCATTTAGCAAGGTGTTAAAAAAAAAAAGAAAAGTAAAATCAAATGTAAAAAAAAAATGCAAAAGGAAATAATTGCTGCATATTCAATTCTACTGTTTGACAAGTTTTTTTTTTTCTTTTTTTATGATAGCAGACTGTATATAAGGAAAATATTTGGGTTAAAACTGGCAGAACTTTAGTCTTTGTTAATTACCAAATTTTTCTGACTACAAACTAGCAAATGGCTTCTTGTTTTAATTTTCTGTTTAAGCATTTCATTCTGTTTTTTCTTTTTTTCCCCAGAATGCCTCTAACCATCATCCAAAAGCAGCAGCTCTGGGACTGACCGGTGAGAAGATTGTTGGACTTTCAGCCTGTTCAGTGCGAGCATCTGTGTTTTTAGAATCTGGGAAAGTGGCTACTTGGGTGGATGACAGCCTCAATATTGTAGCTGCCAAGTTGGAGCACATGGCACAGACATTCCCTGAATTTCAAACTGACAAAATAGTCTCTTTACACACCTGCTCTCTTTACACTTGTGCTCGGTTGGAAAGTGGGGCTCTTTACTGGTGGTGAGTGTTTGTTTGTTGTTTTTTTTTTGTTTTTTTTTTTCCCCCTCTTAATGGTTTCTGGTAATTTCAGTCACACATTCGTCTAAATGGGACTGAACTTCTAGCAAGCAGTGTAGTTAAAATAGATTTCTACTCTACAGTTCAGAAAATGTATTGGGTTATAACAATTTCCAAAACTTATGCTTGTAAAATCTGTTACTTTTATGTAAGGGTTTGCATATATACACACGCTAGGTGAATTTATTTATCCAAATATGCAAAATGAGCCTTTATTTTTATGAACTTTGAGACCACTCTGAATTGTTTCTCTAACTTTTTATTTATTTATATATTATATATATATATATATATATATATATATATATATATATATATATAATATGTGTGTGTGCACACATACTCAATTGGTGGAAGTATCCATGGCATAAATCTGCTGGGTGTTATGTAAAATGTTAAGCATCTAATATCACTTATATTAAAATTGTGCTGGTAAATGGAGCAATGTCATGTGTTTGTTGCTGCAGCATCAAACTCCAGAAGTAAGCTGTGGCAGGAACAGCTAAGCAACAGTTACTTGGCTCGGTCATAGATGCTACAAGATTTTAACTTGCAATGGCAGTTAAATGTTTAAAAATGTAAATATATAGATAAAATGCATATATGAAACGTGATTTTCCCCCACTTGGTGCTTTTAAAACAGATAAAATTGTACAATCCTGTTAAAATCCTAGCATCTCCCCTACCACCTCCCAACTCGTAAAGGCATGTTAATGCTCGTTGTGTTGTTTGTTTTGTTTTTTTTTTTTTTTTTTCCAACTTGCTTATAGTAACATGTACCAGATCACTGTCTGTATGGGAAGTATTGGGAATTAGTCATTGCTATTTCAAATTCTCTCTTTGGTAATAATGACTGAAGTTTTGTGGGGTAAGAAAAATTCTATACAAATATTCAAGTTATGCCTGTGTATAAAAGCCAAATAATCGTGATCTTCAGACTTTGAAGCTCCAAAAACATTCCATTTTTTTGAATATCACTTGCTGGCAGTACTCCTCTCTGACGTACAAAATCAGTGGAGGGGGAGGGCAGCTTCATATATCAGTCTTGCAGAATATTAACCAGTTAATTTAAATGACTTTTTTTTTTTTTTCTCTCTCTCTCTCTCTCTCTCTAGGGGTGTGATGCCATTTGGCCAAAGGAAAAAATTGTTGGAAAAAAACAAATCTAAGAAGAAAAAAAACAAGGACAACAATGTAAGCAGTGAAGTTGTAGCTGGGTCTTTGGTGAGTTTTCTCTTAATTTGAACAATTTGTTAGTGTGATTTTTTTTTTTTTTTTTTTTTTTTTTCTTCTTCTTCTGATTTTATAAAAATGCACTCGCACCTTTTTAGAATTAATTTAATTATTTTCAGCTTATTAAATGAATTTATAATGCAATTAGATACAGAATCAGCTTTGTGGTGGGGAGAGATATCCTGAAAGGATCCGTAGATATATTGATTCCTCAAGTTGAGGTTCTTGTAATTACTGATACTTGTCAATTCTTTTCAGGTGTGTCTTCGTAACAGTCCAATGTATCATTCTGGTGCATTGGGATTCACTACAATAGATGGTGTACCTAAAGTGGGTCAGCTAATTGATTCTGCCTGGTCTTTGAATGACACTTGTCGGTTTAAGATCATCAGAGCTTCTGTGAATGATACAAAAGTGGAGACCAAAGTTGAAAACAAGAGCTCGGACAGCAAACCAGATATGCCACCACCTCCATCACCTGCTTCCTCGACTTGTAGTGATCATAGCGGCACTTCTATCGTCAGTCCTGTATCACTAAGTATGTTATAGCCACTTTAATTAAAATTATCGAACATATACTGTTAAAACTGAAATTTGCTCACTTTTGTTATGCTCTGTGAATTTTAACTTTAATGGAATCCTTGTTGGGTTTTGCAGAACGGCTTTTTTTTTTTTTTTTTTTTTCCTCTTACTTGATGCGTTACCAAGACTTATTATTAATTCAACTTGTTAGTTGGAATGAGATTTTGCTTAAATCTATTTATAAAGTACCAATTCATTTTTTTAGAGCGCAAGAAAACTCCTACGCCAGTTAAGGAAATGGAAAAGAAAGATGAAGAAAACTGGCCTTTAAAAAATGTAATATTTGTTGAAGACATCAAGACTGTGCCAATTGGAAAAGTATTAAAAGTAAGTGGTCTGTCACTAAAAAGGAATTTTTTACTTCTATAAGAGTGAGTATTATTCTCCACGTCTTCCTATCACCACACACTTCAGGTTCTGTTCAATAATTGAGATATGCATTCTTCATTCCATAACCCAAATGCCAATGCTACCTGACTATTAACTAAGATAAAGGTTAATCATAGGTAAGAATTGACCTTTTAACACAGAACACGTGAAAATGCTTTCTCTTGCTCTCTCTCCACATGAATGTACAATAGGATGTAAACACTAACTTTTTGTGAGGCAGCTTATTTTAATTGTCTTCTCTACTCTCTCTCCACACACACACACACACACACACACACACACACACCCACCTACCCCTCAGATTTTTTTATTTTATAGAAAAGATAAAAATACTAGATATTCATTTTTATAGAGGGTGGGAGAATATGCTTTTCTCAAAGTCTGTATTGGCTGAAATCTCTAAAATTGTATCAATGTTGTTTGATCAGATCTTTGTACATTTGCTATTAACGTTTTTGGCCAATTCATTTATCAGCTGAGGAATGTCTTAGCCTAAACTTTAACAGCATCTATACGAAGATTCAAGCACCTGAACATTTTATGTTCATGACATTATGAACAACTCTAAAATTCTTTTTCCCAAATTGTAATAGGCTATGCTATGTTTTAAACGCTTTGAGTATTCAACCCATTCTGTAAATATCGGCTCTCTCGCTGTTTATGATCAGTCTCATTGGTGGCTTCCTGCATTATTTGTAATGATGGCTGAGTATACATATGGTGGTTTGAACATTGAGAACCAATATTTACAGGGTGGGTTGAATGCTGAAAGGTTAAAACAAAACTGAAATTAGTTTTCTTTTTAGAAGATTAATTGGCAAATAGTTGTCATTGAATTTTGTAACTGTTAGAAAAAAAAAAACTTGTAATGTGTTGAGTGATTAGGTATTTTTCTACAGTGATCTATTCTAGTATCCTCTTAGGGTGGGGACTGGTTTAAGTAATTTGGATAATTGATTCCTCATCTCTAAGCAATTCAGATGAATGTTTCTTTTTATCGTGTGAACATTTCTGCAATTTTATACTTCAGTTTAGCTTGTCACATTCTTCTTGGCATCTGCCTTGTAAATCTTGTCTGTGTAGATGTTATTTCATTAGGAAAGTGAAAGCTTTTATTTACTTTACTTGGAACTGTAGATTGTCTTCTAGTTCTATCTTACTGCCTCCAACCTCGTAATTTATCAGATATTTAAAGTGAATCTTTTTCTCGCGTTTTAGAAACCAACATTGCAGTTCAAAGTGGGGGAACTTTACATTTTTCTTTTTTTTTTTTCTTTTTTTTTCTCTTGCTTTTTTTGCTTTCTTTTTTTTCCTCTTCCTTTCTCTTTTTTTTTTTCTTTTTTTCTTTTTTCTCTTTTTTTTTTTTTTTTTTTTCTTCCTTTTTTTTTTTTCCTTTTTTTTTTTTTTTCTTTCTTTTTTTTTTTCTTTCCTTTTTTCTCTTTTTTTTCTTTTTTCCTTTTTTTTTTCTCTTTTTTTTTTCTCTTTTTTTTTTCTCTTTTTTTCTTTTTTTTTTTCTTCTCTTTTTTTTTCTTTTTTTCTCTTCTTTTCTTTTTTTCTCTTCTCTTTTTTTTTTTTTTTTTTTTTTCTTTTTTTCTCTTCTTTTTTTTTTCTTCTCTTTTTTTCTTCTTTTCTTTTTTTCTCTTTTTTTCTTTTTTTTTTTTTTTTTCTCCTTTTTTTTTTCCTTTTTTTTTTTTCCTTTCTCTTTTTTTTTTCTTTCTTTTTTTCTTTTTTTTTTTTTTTCTCTTTTTTCTCTTTTTTTTTCTCTTTTTTTTTCTCTTTTTTCTTTCCTTTCTCTTTTTTTTTTTCCTTTCTCTTTTTTTCTCTTCCTTTTTTTTTTTTCTCTTCCTTTCCCTTTTTTTTTTCTCTTCCTTTCTCTTTTTTTTTTCTCTTCCTTTCTCTTTTTTTTTTCTCTTCCTTTCTTTTTTTCTCTTCCTTTCTTTTTTTTCTTTTTTCTTTTTTTCTCTTTTTTTTTTCTTCCTTTCTTTTTTTTCTTCTTCTTTTTTTTTTTTTCTTTCCTTTCTTTTTTTTCTCTTCCTTTTTTTTTTCTTCCTTTCTTTTTTTTTTTTTTTTTTCTTCAACTACTGAAAATTTGATCTATAGAGAATGTATTTCAAGTCAAAACTATTTCCAAGCTTTTTTTTTTTTTTTTTTTTTTTTTCATATCCAAAATAACATTCACTATGCTTCTTTAATTTATTTCTTTTTTTTTTTTTTTTTTTTTTTTTATAAGCTTAGATGTACATTAAATATTTTTATCTGCTGACTGAGATCTGTGATAACTTGCCAAATACCTTATAAATTATAGCTTTTTTGCATTGATTTCTTGGCAATTTCAATCTTTAATTTCCTTTTTTCTGAAAGTATTCTCTGCTTGTAATCTTTTGAATAGCAGGCTTCTTTTATTAGTAAAAGAGAACCACTTCTATTTTCTTGCATGTGTTCACTTGGCAAGCATGTTTGTGTTAGTCATTCATTTTAAAAATCCCCCACCTCAAGTCCTTGTTATGTTGGGTAGGTTCCATCCAGCTTCCTTCTATGTCAGGGTTCCTCTTGCTCCATTGTTGCAGAGGTCAGAAGACATTGGCTAACAAAGGCATATCTCTTGCCTGAGGAAATGATGAGGAAAACTCCTCCTGCACATCTTTCTAGCCAATCACATTTTTTCCTCCCCTTCAGGTTGATGGTGCCTATGCTGCAATAAAATTCCAACAGAAAGATGCTGATCAGATGGGCTCTGCGTCCAAAGAAGATCCTTCAGCCGTACTTCAAGACTGTCGACTTTTACGTAAGGACGAATTACAGGTAGGGTAACCCCTCCCAATGTCCTCCAAATTCTTCTTGGGGTTTATTTTATTTTTTATTTTTATTTTTATTTTTTTTTTTTTTTCCATCAACTTTTTTTTTTTTTTTTTTTTTTTTTCTTTTCTTAGATGTAACTTGTTCTTGTTGTCCTGTCAGAAATTTTCTTTTTAGTCTGTTAAAAAAAAAAAAACCTTCATTCTCTTCTTCACATATCTTAATGGTACTATATTTATTTTTGTCTAAGGTTAGATTCCAAGTCTTTAAAAACTTCAAAGCTTGTAAGGTGTATTTTGAAAGGTATCATTTAGTTTGTAGAAAATTATTTTTAAAGTCTTTCAAGTGAATACTGTGTAGAAAGAAAGGCTTCAAATGGCCTTTTACTATGTTTTGAAAATTTAATGAAAGATTTAAGCTTGAATCTTCTCAAAGATGCTAGACCCAAACATTGCAACTGCTTGGTTTATACTCTTTGTAGCTTTTTTGTATTTAAAAATTTTAAAGGCTTTTGTCATTTTTCTGCTTGCATGGTATAAATATCCTTCTTTTTGAACAAGTAAAATATTTTGGAAGACTACTTTGCTCTGATTGTGGCTTTTGTTTCTGAAACTCTAATTTTCTATATGATGGCAAGCAAACCTTCTATATGTAGCTACTCCCCCACCACCACTCTGCACAGTTAATCTTTTACCAGGTACGCTAATGATTTGTAGGGTTGCTGTGTAGCTTTGAGCACCTGATCAGTTTCTGCCACATGGTTTGAAAGCTGGAGAGGATTATAGTGTCTTGGGCAAATGGATCTGGTAAAATGTGATATATAAAGCACAACTGTCATTCTCTAACAAGGGGTTGACTTGGTCATGGACACATGGCTATTGATTCTATTGGTGGCACCCTATACTCTAGTTAACTTCAGTCAAGGAAGCACTCTGCCAAGCAATGCTGCCATCGCTGTATACTGAGCTATAAAGCTCTCATTGTGCAAGATGGCTGCTGACCCTAGAATATTAATCTACCCTTTGACAGGTTTTGTTTTTACTCCTGCTAGATGTCTATTAACACGTCTCACCAGAACTGGTTTATGTGGTGCCATTAGCTTATGTGGAATGGCCTGACATAAATACCAATGTCCTTGCTATTGTATTCAGTCCTGCTTTAGATAAAACAAAAACAATATGGCTGTTTTAACCTTACTTTGACTCACTTAGCAATGTTTATTTACAAGATTATGAAAGATACTCAGAAAATGTTTTTTTTTTCAAAATTTATTAGTCACTCATCTTTTTGTTTATAGAAATTTTCTTCTAAATAAAAATTCTTCTTAGATTTCTTTTTTTACAAAATTATTCTTGTAAATAAGCAATCTAATAAAGTGTATATCTTTGTCAATTCACAATGATAAAGGAAATATATAAATCCACTTTCATATGTTTGGGTTTTATTAAAAATTCTAATGACTTTTTAAAATAAACATTGCCAAGGGAGTCTAGTGTATACAGTAATAACTGTCATTTTGATACACCATTAAACACTACCAAAAATACCTCCCTCTCCATTAATCTCTTCCAAGCTTGCTTTTTTTTTTTTTTTTTTTTTTGTGCTACCAATTATATAATGTCCTGCTTTGTAATGAATAGTAGTGAATGGATTATGCCTTTTCAATAATAGAAAAAATTTTCTTTCTAAACATTAAGTGTGGAGGTTTTTTAATTATATTAAAGCATTGAGCACTACAGCACTATGCATTAACTGTTGGGAATGATTTTTTAGATCTGGCATTACTGTTTCATCTGTCTATATATTGTCTTGAGACCTGGTGCACCGGACTACCAGATGCACCGGGTATTCTAAAGATGCAGGGATTTTTAGATGTTTTTATTGTGTGCATTGTTTCTTTCTTTTTTCTCTTTTCTTAACAGAACTAATAGTTAATTCTACTTGTAATTGAACATCTATGTGAAGGATATTTTAGGTATGACCATTCTAGAACTACTAGGAAGAATCTTTAACCCTTTAATGAGGTTTTTTTATATGCTGGAATATTATTTTAATGGATGAGTGGCCCAACAGTTAAATTTAGAACTGAACCAATAGACTATCCATGCAGGTAACTTGTATAGAATCGGCCACTTCTGCAGTCTCTTAATGGCTCTTCTCAGGATCTTTGCCGTGAACGATGGTGAGCAGAGCCTAGTCTGTTCATAGCTAGAGGAATATCAACTCCTGCTTTTTCCAGGTATGATTGAAAAAGAATCTATCAGAACTTAGCAATTTCACTTTCTAGGTCAATAACTGTTGCAATATCTGCACAAGTGCTCAGTGAGTGCTGGTAAAACTGTGATTGATGTATTTATTTTTATAAAATTTTCAACTTGTGCCACATGTCACTTATTTGCACCAAATGGTGAGGAACACTTCTTTTTTTTTTTTTTTTTTTTTTTTTTTTTTTTTTTTTTTTGTGTACACTGTTTATTCTTAAAGTTGCTTGTATGGTTAGTTTTCAACCTGGAATGTTGATAAAGTAATTTGTGAATTGCATTTAAAAAAAAAAAAAAATGTCTAATAAAGTCAGTCAGGGAGCTGATCAAATGTAGGTAATGATTGCCAAACTGGAGTAATTGTTTTGACAAAAGACCATTTTAAGAACCATTGTTGAATTCATAGAATTTAATCACTTCATCTTCTTGGCATCATTATTATTTATAAGTGAATCTGTATGATTTTGGCTCTTCTATTGGTTGTTATCTTTTGAACTTAAACTATACTGATGATTTTGCTGATGTTGTCATTGTTAGTATCTCAAAAGCTACTGGCAAGAACAAACCTCCTACTCTATATTGCAATCTCTGGGAAGCCAAATCTATCTAGTTTGGGAATTCACGTTCCTAGGTTGACATAGGAATGAGACTGCTGTTGTTCAGTATAGGATTGGCATATAGTGAGCTGCCTTAACCAGAAAAAAAGCACGATTTGCATATCGTTAAATGTAAGATCTGGAACATCTACATATTGCTGCTTTTTTTTTTTTTGTCAATTGGACCTCAGCTTCATGCACAAAAATTGACTTTCAAAATCATGAGGTTCATGGCAAATCATATAATCGGATCAAAATTGAAGAACTTCTTCAGATAAATCTGCTTGAACCTGTTATATACATCATGGAAAGTAATGTTTTATGGTCACATAAAATGGACTAAATCATGTCTCTTCGAAATTATCCTTGCTAATGATATTGGCCTGGTCTTTACTTTATCTAGTATTATTGAATATGATCACTCTATGCTCAGCTATTAGGAGAGAACTCCTATTGCAACATTAAATACAGATAGCCTCTCTCTCTCTCTCTCTCTGCCCCCCCCCTCCTGAAACTAATTAACAAAAATAGTTTTGTATTAATAACAATTCCAGTGCAGATTGCTTAATGAATAGTAATTAAGGTTATTTGAAAATACTTCAAAATCTGTAAAAGCATAAACCGACAAAATTACTAACCACAGCAGTATTGTACTTAGTTTTGCCATCTCCAAACTAAAGATCTCTATTATTCTTTCCACTGGAATCTGATGTTTGGGGAGAATGTATATCTGTTTGTCTGTCTTGCCTGTCACCTGCATAACCATAAACTGTACCACTCCCACAAGTGCCTTCATTAACCTTACTTCAAGTGTCCCTTGGACTCTTGAAAAGATATATATAATCCTAAATTTAAAAATAAAACTCTTACATTTACCTTGATAAAGTCCATCAGAGGATGAAATATGTTAACCAAGATAAATTTTCCTTTCTTGTCTTTCTCTCTCTCACACATATATATATATATATATATATATATATATATATATATATATATATATATATATATATATACCCTCTAAATGTTATGAGAGGGGAACCTTAAATTTGCAAATTATAAAGATTTGGATTGTAAGGTATCAAATGTATTGACCAAAAATTATTCCCTTGCCCTTTATATTGATTTATTTGAGGCTGCAACTTGGCTATTTTTTGTTGCAGGTAGCTATTGTTTCAATACTTTAATATTCTTGTGACCAACAAAGCCTAATTTGAAATACATTTTTGCAGAAAGGTTTTACTTTTTTTTTTTTTTTTTTTTTTTGAGGATGTTGAATATAAAAATGGAAATTTTGATTTGCTTACTATAATTTGTTTAATTTGCCCAAAAGACAAAATTATAATTACTGGATATTTCTTTTATAAAGTTATACCTCCTCCAAACAGTTATTTTGTTATGTTATCTAAAAATCAATGGACAACTCCAAAACCGTATTTACTGTTACTTGCAGTTGTAGATCCCTTGAGAATGTTTTTCAATTGCATAATCACAGATCCTTCTAAAAATCCATTTAGTTTGATTAATTGTACTCCCATCACTCCTTTTGAAGATAAAATACATAATTGAAATATTCATGTGCTTGTAATGTATTATAAAAATCTACCCAGTCTTTGCCAGATTGTAATAAAATCTGTTTTTATATAGATAAAACAAAAACATTTAGAAATGTCAAAATTTCAATCTGCTTACTAATAACTTCTTGTAAACTCCTAATCAAAATAGTAACTAATATTTGGTTTGAAAAAATCTCCACAAACTGAGAAAAAGTCCCACTATCGGTTTGAAGCTTTAGTACTAAAGCAAAACCTGAGTGTTTAAAGTTCAGTGTTGAGGCTGTTGTTTCAAAACAAACTTTATTGGAAACAAATTGTTTTTATTTCTTAACTGTTATGCATTGGCTATGTAAACGAAAGCCTTTATGCAGTTCTTATCCAACGACAGTTGTAACCCTACACAGTATAATGGTTAAATATGAGCTTCTTCAAATATATTTATTCTATCTCTTCTAACGCTCTTGTTTCTAGTTACTGACATTTGCCTTTTTTTTCCTCTTCATTTTAGGTACTCCGTGGATCAAGTGCACCCAGGATACCAGATTGTTTTCAGAAGATTCCAAAGAAAGTGACCATTGTAGAAAATGGGCATATTCTTGCTGTTGCTGTAGACTGTGAAGGCAAGATTTTTTGTTATGCATCAAGATTTAAAAAAAAAAAAAAAAAAAAAAAAAAAAAAAAAAGTCGGGTGTTTCTGAAATTAAGTGTATCCCAAATGATATTAATAGAATAAATATCTTGTTTTAATGATGTTAAAATGTCAAGTTGTCATTTTAACAGGTAGATTTATACCAATAGTACAGTTAATTATTTATACTATTTACATTGTTTGGACTGTTGTCCTCGTCATATTCACAACGTTTCAGCCATTGTATGCTCTGGACTTCTTCAGGTGATATGTTGGAATTTCAAACCAAACCCTTTTCATCCAGTAGATAAAAGCGTTGGTTAAAGTAATCCAGTTGTGAGTTCAATACCTGGCCACAGCAGAAGTGAACAAAAACTTGGAGAGTAGAGTTTCTCAAGGGAGATAACTGAGAACTGAGCTATTATCCATAAAAGGCATAGCTATTATCCATAAAAGGCATAGCTATTATCCATAAAAGGCATAGATATGGCATAGCTATTATCCATAAAAGGCATAGAACCTATTATCCAAGCTATTATCCATAAAAGGCATAGAGCTATTATCCATAAAAGGCATAGAGCTCCAGGCATAGCTATTATCCATAAAAGGCATGAGCTATCCATTAGAGCTATTATCCAGGAAAGGCATAAGCTATTATCCAGTATTATCCATAAAAGGCATAGAGCTATTATCCATAAAAGGCATAGAGCTATTATCCAAAAAGGCATAGAGCTATTATCCATAAAAGGCATAGAGCTATTATCCATAAAAGGCATAGAGCTATTATCCATAAAAGGCATAGAGCTATTATCCATAAAAGGCATAGAGCTATTATCCATAAAAGGCATAGAGCTATTATCCATAAAAGGCATAGAGCTATTATCCAAAAAAGGCATAGAGAGGCATAGAGCTATTATCCATAAAAGGCATAGAGCTAACTGGAATAGAGCTATTATCCATAAAAGGCATAGAGCTATTATCCATAAAAGGCATAGAGCTATTATCCATAAAAGGCTAGATAGCTATTATCCATAAAAGGCATAGAGCTATTATCCATAAAAGGCATAGAGCTATTATCCATAAAAGGCATAGAGCTATATCCAAAAAAGGCATAGAGCTATTATCCATAAAAGGCATAGAAATCCATAAAAGGCATAGAGCTATTATCCATAAAAGGCATAGAGCTATTATCCATAAAAGGCATAGAGCTATTATCCATAAAAGGCATAGAGCTATTATCCATAAAAGGCATAGAGCTATTATCCATAAAAGGCATAGAGCTATTATCCATAAAAGGCATAGAGCTATAACAAGCTACTCCCAGTGGATGAAATGGGGTTTGATTTGAAATTCCAACATGTCACCTGAAGAAGGCTGAGCATACAATGGCTTAAATGTTATGACTGACAATAAAGATGAGGACAAAAGTCTGAACTGTAAATAGTATAGTTAAAATACCTCCTTTTGGAAATATAGACACTAGTTAATTTTTGCAAAAAAAAATACTGAGTTGAACTGATTAGATTTCCATTGGCTTCATTCATCAAAGACAAGTTTTCATATTTATGATGTTGAATAAGCATGTCTTTATGATGTTTTATTACATTATATCATTATTATAAACTTTGGTTTGATTTCACTGGATTTAGAAATCATGCATTAAATAATTACTGAAAATTTGAAATTTTTAATATTACTTCCCTTTCCGCTGCTTTCTTTTTCAAAGCTTCTCAATTGCATTAACCTTATTGTTAATTTCACCCAAAGGTGTTTTCAGTTGCCATAGAAGGATATATGAATTCAAATTCAGGGATCAGTGTCACCTTCAGTGACATAAACTTTTTGCGCAGCAAAGGAAGTCACATACAGAGATAAAGGTTTAGCAGCATCAAGCCTCGTTAGTACCTAGATGGGTAACTGTGTGGGAAGACCAGCTTTTGTAAGCTTGGGCGATGTAATGGATAACAGCTTGGAATTATTAAATGGAGTTCTAATTCCAGTTGGGTTCAATATCTTTACTTGTATGCAATTACCCACTTTTGAAAGAGATGAACCCACTTCTCTCCCCAGATATGAGTTAATTTAAAATGGCAAGTTCTCTGATATACAGGACATGGAAATAAAGTAGAAAACAGAAAATCACAGAAAACTGGACTTTTGCAAATATAAAATATTCCACCAGTAAACTTCCTAAGCTGGAACTCTACAGAATCATTATTTTGCATAAATTTGCAATACACAGCGAAGTTGGTCACTTATGTGCAAGCGCTACCACCTATATTGCTTTTACATGTTCTCCTATAAATAACATGGGATGTTTCCACTAGTAATCCCAGTACTGCACAAACGCCATAGCCTAATTCATGATATTAACCTGGCCAAACCAGTTGCCACAGGGCAAATACCCATGTGCAATATTAGCATATGAATAGCATAGTATGGACCATCAATTGAGGTAAAAATAAGTTTAGTAATTAAATTAGATTTTTAAAAAAGCTAGCAGACCTGGTGGGTGAACACTTTTGGCAAAATACAGAGCTGAAGACCCAGCTTTTTGTGATTTTTATCATGATTTTGCAGTTTTTATCAACACACTGTAGATTGGACTCAGATGGACATGCTGTGGTTAATCAAATTGCTATAAATATATATATATATATATATATATATATATATATATATATATATAAATATATTAAAACGTAGTAGAGCAATTGTTTAAATAAAGGCGCATAAGGGTTAATAAGTTGTATCAATATCTTAGTTACTTTTGGAAAGAGGTCAAGGTAGGGTTGGGGTGTCTAAATTAAAGCGGAAGATGACATTTAAATTCATACCATGTAGTCTGGTTTAATTACTATTTTATTAGTTAATTTGTTGAATTTTTTTTTTTTTTTTTTTTTTTTTTTTTTTCTTATAGGAATCCATGTGATAGCCAGGTCTGGTGCTCGGCTCAGCTATATGGTGTACAATCTTAGCTCGGGGAAAGTGGAACAAAACAGCCCCTTTCCAACTGACACTCAGTCTTTTCTTGGAAACTTTGACCGCCCAATCACCTTGCACAACAGTGGGGAAGTAAGTAAATTTATTTTGCAAGAAGATGAAATTCAGCAATTAAATGTTTTTCTTGTGCTGCTACTTTTTGTATCTCTTTCTTTAACATGGCAAGAGTTTAGATATTAAAAGGAAACTGTGGATGGCAATTATTGTAATTTTGAATGAGTTGTTTTTTTTTTTTTTTTTTTTATTATAGTATATTAAGCACAACTTTGTTAATTTCCCTATAATAAATATTCATAAGATGTTGGTCTTAGGTGTGGTAAGCCACACATTGTAACTTATGTAAAACAGATTTTTGAAGTGACCTCAGTTATTTTCTTAAAGCTACCCCCCCCCATTGATGCAATATTGTCGATGTGCTTTTTTTTTTTTTTTTTTTTTTTTTTCCCCCAGAGCAAATATGAATTATTAATGTATGTACTTATGCCTTGTAGGAATCACCTGTTTTATTACGTGATGGCTGTGGCGCTATTTATCCACTAGCTAAAGATTGTACAGATGGTATAAGAGACCCTTTGTGGCTGGACTTGCCACCTGTCCGATGCCTTAGTGTCAGGGCCCAGTGTCTTGCCAATGTTGCTAGTAATATGAAAAACAAAGCGGTTATCATTGTTCTTGCTGTTGAAGTAAGTTTTTTTGTTTTTTTGTTTTTTTTTCTTCTCGTAGGGCTTCTAAGCACCATCTCTCTCTCTTATATATATATATATATATATATATATATATATATATATATATATCTCTCATAAAATTTAAACCTTTTTTTCACATATTGCGGTAACAAAAAGCTATTCTCTTTAGTCCATTCAATAATTTGTGGTTTTAAGGAGGAAAAAAAAAAATGTATATTTGAAAGTTTAATTTTCATCTTTTAAAATGACTTTATCATTATCTGAGTTTTTAAAGTTTTTGCCTGCAGATTATAAGACTGGACTTGTATTATTTGTAATTTATATTTCTGTAAAAAAAAAAAAAAAAAGCTTTGTCGATCTAGGGATCCACAAGCATCATTTGATATTAATATAAAAGTAAGCAACTGTTAAATGTTTCAAATCCCTTCTAGTCTAAAATGATAGAATATTGATCTAATTATTGCTTTACTTCTGAAAATGTCAATTTGTCTTCAGCACTTGGCATTAAAATGTTCAAACTTTTTCCTTCAGCACCAGACTTTGATTCCTCATATTCTTAGATGTGATCTTGAGAAAGTTAGATCTATCATGAGTTCCTTGGAGCCTGGACATTCTCGTGAGTATTTAATTTACCCTTCCTAAATTTGGCACAAGTGTTGAAAATGTTTGTTCTCTAGTTTGTCCCCCCCCCCTCCACCATTAGATGCTCAATTTGTAAAAAGAAGAAAAACTTTAAAAGCAATGGCATTTATGGCAAATTGGAGTTTTTTAAAAAAAAAAAAAAAAAAAAAAAACAAAAATAAAGAAATTGTAGTGGAAACTTGACTGAGAATATCACTGAAAATAATTTGTTTATAAAAATCAATAATGATTTAAGTGCTGTTAAAACTGTTTACTTGGGTTTTTATGATTTTTGATATCTACAAACTTTTTACTTGTCTTATTTACTGCTCCTGAAAAAAAAAAAATATAAAGTTGGTTTAATGTGGGCAAATATACAACCTATCCTGAACAACATTTCAAAATGTTGTTGGGATGACTTCTTCCTTTTTAGTTGGGTGCTTTATTAGTTTAGTTAACTCAAGAGAACTCCACAAACTAAGGTCTGTGCTTGCTTTATGCTATAATATAGCAGAATGTGAATGATTTTTTTTTTTTTTTTTTTTTTTTTAAATGGTTGCTTTTACACTTCATGCACATTCTTTAATTTTGCCATTTTAATTATTCTCTCTCTCTCTCTCTCTCTCTCTCTGACAGCTTCCACTTCGACTAGTAGCCAACAGAGTCAGCGAGCTGTACATGAAATTCTGAGTGAAAGGTGTGATGGCAGTCGAAACATTCTGCACACTTGTGTTGCAGTCTGTGTCCCATCTTCCAATAAGGATTGTGAATTAGGTAAGGGAATTTTTTTTTTTTTTTTTTTTTTTTCACCCTCCTATTTTATAATTCTATCTTTAGAATTACTGAAATTTTCTTTGTCTCTTTCTAGAATCATCCACACCAGGTAGCTATAATCCTTGCTTGGATACCTTCAATGCAGTCAGTAGTGCTGTTGAGACGCTTGCTTCTATTCAGGCTCGGGGGGCTGACCCTACAAATCGTGGGTAAGTTTTTTTGATCTATCCTACAAGCTTACTGATAAGAGTATTTATTTTTACAAAAATTTTAAATTCAGTGTTAATATAAAGCAAGTATTTTTGCTCAAAATTCATTCAGTAACTGTTAAACATCTTTCTTGGCCTTTTGTCTGTCAGCTTTTTTTTTTTTTTTTTTTTTTCTGCTTTGGTTCATGACTGCCTCTATTTTTGCAGTGTCACTCTTCGAGAGATGATGAGAAGGGCTTCAACAACTGCTCGAGCTGTCAGTGGTCTTGATGTGCGGGAGTCAGATTCTATTGCCATACCTACTCTAAGTTGGCCTGCAGATCCTCCTGTCTTTGATGCCCTTAGGGCAGGTAAGATGTCTCATGTTTTCGTTTAATCCCGTGCTTCTAGTCAGCATTGGGGGTGGGAGCTATATGTGAACCGTACAACAGCTTCAGATATTAATACTAGGTGCGATGGGTAAATTGTCGCCATTATATATTTTTAATTTTGTCCATGCATATTGTTTTTTAATTGTTGGCTGCATAGCATAGTAGGGTCAGTTGGGCACTATGATGCAATTCCCCCCCCCCTTCCGAAATTTGAAAACGGCATGATGTACTGCTAAGCATTTGCGCCAGAAGTTCCAATATGAAGATTTCAGTGTTCGGGTGTCAATCTGAGGACAGTACAGAGGATTCAGAAAATGTTGGATGAATCTATTGGTGATTACGAAGGTGTTTGGAGTGAACACTAGTGATGGCAACATTATGATTCTATTCATCTTCCCACAAGGTTTCAGACTCAACATTGAGGCCTACAATAAGTGTTCTTGAGGAGGTAGTGCTGCCCTGGGTCAAGAGGGTAACTGCTGGAAAACCCTATCTGGCAACAGGACTGTGCACCATGCATCCAGTCATGGCTGTCGAAAATTTTTGTGACCCAGTCACCCCTTACATTCTTTATTCTTTAGCATTTAAGATATTTTTGTGTAAGTTTGGTAAATATATCTGTTAAAATGATGTCTGTTATTTCCATTTTTTTTTTTTTTGTAATTTAGGTGACAATTTATCCATCTCTCTTGTGTGTGTGTGTATATATATATATATATATATATATATATATATATATATATATATATATATATATAAAGGCCATACTTAACTATTTGAGTGTGACATGACAATTTGACACTTTCACCATTGTGGATGAACTCATCTTTGTCATATTTACAACATTTTGGCCATTGTATACTCTGGCCTTCTTCAGGTGATATACATTGGAATTTCAAAATCCCAATGTATATCACCTGAAAAATGCTGGAGCATACAATGGCCAAAATGTTAATGACAGATTCAGTCAAGAGTCCGAATCATGTGAATAGTTACAATACCTCATCTCAGAAATATCGACACATCTTTATAAAACTTACATTGCCTATCATCAACAGATTTGTATATTTTGCAGATACTGTAAAATGTTGATTATGGTATAAAGAATGCTTGCTGTTATTTTCCAAACCCGTGTAAACATTGTAGTAGGGTACATGTTTTGTCATGTCATTTAGCTTAGTTTCTATTGCAGTGTGTCAGTTTTTGTCCAGTAAATGGTAATTTCCTATTTTTTCCCAAAATGAGTCAGCATAGCCAAGCAAGAATTTAATCCAATGTAAAAAAAAAAAACCGTTAAACAGTTGGCTTGACTAGCTTTGTTAGTCTCTTACATAATTTCAAGAAACAACTGGAAGTTTTCACAAGCTCTTAATTTTCAAAATAGTCACAATCGACTAACTATTAAAAAACCTTTTCTCTTATTTTTCAAGATAATGAACGTCCAAGTTTGTCCAGACAATCTTCTAGTGGCTTCTCAAGTGCAGTGGGTAGCATACCAGAATACAGCACAACCTCAATGCCTCCTGTGAAATTGGAAGAGAAAGAAAGGAAGTCAAATGCACTCCAAATCTTGAAATTACTTTGTGAAAGTCCTGCTTTACACCCACACTTGTTAGAGCTACTCTCTGCAAAGTAAGAGTTTGATGTTTAATTTTTCTGTTACCTACTTTATACCTCTAGATATTACTGTCTGCAATTTGATCACTTGTTTTTATGAATGTGTAATCAGTCTTCATCCAAAATTATATATATATATATATATATATATATATATATATATATATATATATATATATATATATAATCTCACAATCATATCATAAGAGGAATTAATTTTTTGTTTTATAATTGTGCAGACTCTTCAGTTACAGTCTTTAGCATTCAACACACTCAAACCTACCCTGTAAATATCAGCTCTCGGTTTCACTGTTTGCATGACTTCCTGCGTTATTTGCAATGATGTATATTATGGCAGAGTATACATGGGACAGGCTACTCCACGTTGAACATTGAGAGCTGGTATTTACAGGGTGGGTTGAAGGCTGAAATGTTAAACTTGTCAGATTTTTGGTTTACTCTCTTTAAACCTTTCTCTTATTGATATTTAAAATCAAAACTTTTATGTGTATAAAATATTAACTTAAAAATATGAATGTTGCATTATATTTTTTATTATTTTTTTCTTTAATCCATCATATTCGTTTCTTACAGGAATGCAGAAGGATGTACGCCATTTATGCAAGCTGTATGTGGCCGGGCATACTCTGCTGCCCTCTTACTCTTGGATATTGCCAAGAAAGTCGCCTTAAAGGATAAAGAAGTGGACAAAAATACTTTAATGAGTATGCTCTACCCAACCGGCTCTAGTTTGGACAACTCCCCTCTTCATGTCCTCTGCTGCAATGACACCTGTAGTTTCACGTGGACAGGAGCATTTTTTAGAGCATTATTATATATTATTATATATGCATTTTTTATTATTATTATTATTATTATTATTATATATTATTATATATTATTATTATTATTATTATATTATTATATATTATTATTATATATTATTATATATTTATTATTATTATATATTATTATATATTATTATTATTATTATTATTATTATTATATATTATTATTATTATTATATATTATTATTATTATTATTATATTTATTATTATTATATATTATTTATGGTGTGTTATGATGAAATTCTTGTTTTCACCTCTAATAATAATTGTTTACTCCAATCAGGATATCTTTGAGTGCCGCACTTGTGGTTTAGTTGGTTCTCTATGCTGCTGTACAGAATGTGCCAGGGTTTGTCATAAAGGACATGACTGCAAGTGAGTTATGTTTACTTTTTGTCTTTGCAACAACTATATATTTAACTACCAAGGAGGTGAAATTCAGTTTTAATGACATTGTTTGCCCAGATTGACTGTTTCAATGGACAGTCCCTTGGGTTGTGTTTTAGCTAGTATTTTTGTGGGTTTTATAAAAACTTCTCTGAAAAATGCAACAAGCTCTTCAACTTAATTCATTTCAGTTTACTATTGGAGGAGGAATGTGCTTTGTTTTTTGCCCTTCTTCGATGTGCTTGTTGAGCAGAAGGATGGTTCTTTCATCACTAGTGTTTATTGTAAACCTATATTTACTGGACTATACACCATTTAGAATTCTTCTGTTCCCAAATTCTGGAAGTTAATTTTAATTTTTTTTACTTTGGCTTATCGTGTTGATATGTCCCCATTGTAAACTTGATTGTGAAAGGGAAACATTCCTGTTATTTTCTAGAAAAGGTTAAATGTAGAATTGAGTGAAGGGTTAAGAAGTTAGTCCCCACCTATGTTTGTCCCCAGTGTATTTGAAATTGTCGTGGTTGGGGAGGGGCAGCCAGATACTGGCTAATATTGTGTTAACTCGTGTTTTCCTGTGATCAGGATACTTGTTTTTGGCACTGTCCCTTTGTTTTGATTATTTGCTAAGGACTCTCGGCCCTATCTACAAAGTAGTTTGGTTGTTGATAAATTTACATGTAGTTGTGATGCTGACTACATAGGGCGGGCCATTTGGTGCCTTGAGATGTGTGTTGCACAACATGTGTCTGGCAATATCGGACAGGATGTGAGTACCTGTAATTCACTTATGCATAACAGCTCGGGATTCAGTGACTCGTGGTTTTCCACTTTGGGCAAAGTACAGTCGGCTAAGTGTCTACAAATTTTAAAAGCAGTATATATTAAATTACATTGGCCAGCATTGTGCTGGTAAAAAAAGATTTATTTGTTCTTTCTGTACTGGGTGGTTTGCAAATCTATACTTTCATTTTTTAAAACTCACTGGAACTATTTCTGGTTTTTAGCCATAAATCCCCTTTTTCTTCTTTTTCTTTTTAATATCAAATAGTATTTTAATTCTAGTTCCTCGTTTCCTCCCAGTTTCATCTACATCCTCCACTCAGCTATGGGCTAAATAGGAATTTCTTTGGAAAATTTATTGTTGCTCGTTAAGATTAATGCTGTAGTAACTCGGGGAGATAGAAAAAAAAATTATTTTTAGTCCAAAATGTTTCACCTTTGTGGTTAAGCCAGTGTTTCTCAACTGTTTTACCCTTGTGGAACCCTTGAAATAGTTTACTTATCTCAGGAACCCCTGTATAAAAATCATATAGCATTATTAATATCTACTTGATATTTTTTTATCATGTAGTAAACATTATGTATGAACATTATGTATGTGTCTTGTACTAAGAGTCACTTAATGATACACTACTGCCAAGTATGTGTCCTGTTTATTAACCACTTAAGACAGTTTTTACAGAGTCTCCATATAGACAACGCTAAACACATTCCCTGTGATTATTATAATCTTAATGAGGTTGAAGCATTTATTATAATAATCAGATTTTCCAACAATATGCTGTATGTATATAGTAAAATTATGAATATAAAAATTACTCAAAAATGCATTAGCCTGTTTATTGCAAGACCCATCAAGACATCTTGGGAACATAGTTTGTTTTTTATGCTAATTTAAAGCATTAAGCCATAAAAAAATCCATCTGTTGGTCATACTTGAGTCCATTTCATCAAATGCCATCCTGTATTTTTCTCAAAAGTTGAGATTTAAGTTGTCCTTTCTTTCTTTTTTTTTTTTTTTTTTTTTTTTTTTTCTCCTCCTCACATTGCAAATAATTTGTCTTTTTTTTTTTTTTTTTTTTTTTTTTTTTAGATTAAAAAGAACTTCACCAACTGCATACTGTGATTGCTGGGAAAAATGCAAGTGTAAAGCCTTGATTGCTGGTAATCCTGCAGCACGACTTGAGCTGCTAAATAAACTTTTATCTGAAACTGATTTGGTAACACACCCCAACAGCAGGTGAGGTTTTTTCCCAGTCTCCATACCTTTTGAAGTTTAAGGGTACTTGGCTTTATTTTACAAGTCTATAAAATGCTGGCTTAAACTTTAGATCTTCCATGTTTTTAAACTAATCCCCTTCTCCCTCCCTCATCTTGGCACTAGGTAAACTTTTTTTATTTTATTTTGTAGAGGTGAGAATATTCTATTATTTCTTGTCCAAACTGTTGGACGTCAACTTATTGAGCAAAGAGCCTGCCGGCCAGCTAGAACCAGAATGGGAGGTCCACGCAAAAATCCAGTGTCTGAGATTGGTAAGTATTTAGATTTTATGAGTACATGCATTTCTAATTTCGTTTGTGTGTGTGTGTGTGTTGTTTGTTTGTTTTTGGGGAAGGGGACTCAGTAGATACTTAACCATAGCCACCATTCAGTCAGGTTGATCATGATAATGACAAAGAATTCAGTTTATGGCACTCTCCACCCTCATGTGATTATTTAAGCATGATGAGGCACCTTGTTATCCCAGTCTAAATGTCTCTGGTCACAACAAGCTCCTAGTCTTGGGTATGACTCGAATCTACATCTGGCAGATTTGAAGGTTTTGAGGAGAGTGGAACCAGCTCTTAACTGCTGTTGTTTCCAGGTTCAACCTGACCTAGGGTGGTAGCACCTGTTAGGGTCCCAGCTTTGGGCAAATAGTGAACCAAAAACAAAACACTATCAAAGTATAAAATACCAGCAATACATTTTTATTTAAAAGAAATTACCAACAGTTGCATTCAAAATATATTTAGTTGAGCTATAAAATTGTTCAAAATAGATTTCAACATTAACCCATAGAGGTTGATATATCACTTAAGAGACTTTCTGCACACTCCATGGTTTCCAATTGGCCACCTCCCTCCCCTGCACTCCAGGCCTGGCTGCTACTCCACATAAATAACTTTACAATAACTGCACACCTGAATATATGAAGATTTTCAGGATTGACTACATCCCGGAGGAATTCCATCTGAATGATTTTTCTAATGGCATGGTTAAAAAAAAAAAAGCAGTTTCTTTTGTTATCCCCTTCCACCAGTTTGTCCTACTGACTAAAACTAGCATGTGATGATAAATTCTCTTTTTTTTTTCTTATTACATCATTGAAACACACACACACACACACACACACACACACACACACACACACATGTATGCACACTCTTCCAGGGTATCTATTCAAAAATGTTTTCACAGATTTACTTATGACATTATTCTGGTCTAATCTAAGGTCATCTTAACAGTTAACATGTCCAATTAAGATACCTGGGTTGGTTTTTCCCTTCACTATCCACTTCCTGATTGTTTTTGGGTTTTGTTTGTGGTTTTTTTTTTTTTTTTTTTTTAAATTTCCCTCATTTTAGTACTTTACTGAATTTTTGAAATTATGAAATATTTGATAATTGACATTGCTCACTAGTTTCAAAATCTACTAAAATTGCTCAATTTGCATGTTTTTTTTCCTGTTGCAGCTGATGTAGAAATGCCAGAACATGATTTGGAACCACCTCGATTCAGTAGGCAGGCTCTGGAGAAAATCCTTGAAAATTGGACTGCTGTCAAAGCCATGTTGCTTTGTGGAAGAAAAGAACACTCCTCTAGGTAGTTAGTGGATTTTTCGGCTTCTCTCTTGCAACAAATTACTTAAAATGTTTGACCTTTTTACTGTCTTATATATATATATATATATATATATATATATATCTTGCATATCTGGGCTGTGTAATTGATTTGTTATTTGTCTATAATTTTCTCATTCTTTTCCTTACAATATTCAGCAGGATTGATTAAACTTCTGTAAGTTTCTAGTTTCTTTCATATTGAAATCTAATGGGACCTCCAGGTAAAGGTTAAAAAAAATTATTTTTGTGTTTAAATGGTTTGAAGAAAACAATTCTGGGTGTCTTGTACAAGATAAAACTTGTTGAATATGGCAAAGAATAGTGACAGGATTTGACAAGCTAAAAGAATTATACTTTTGTTTATTTGTAACAAGTTAATCTGTGATCAACCTTGAGAATTTGTTTTTTTTTTTTTTTTTTTTTTTTCATGTAAAGGCAATAATTGCTTGGTCAACAGATTTAATTGTAATGTTGATCATATCTTTAAATGAAATTTTTATAAATACTAAATTTTGAAACCTTGAACAGAGGTGCTATTTGAACTTACTGTGTAGATTTTTTTTTTTTTTTTTTTTAATAACATAAGGGCTAAAGGTGTCAGTCATCTGTAGACAAATGAATTTACTATGCAATTTATTTCCTATTTTCTAAAATATGGCCACTTTTATAATGCGATATATATAAACTTTGTTTTTTAGTCCTGATGTCCTGTATGAAGAACAAATGTATTTAGAAAGCCAAGGAGGCACTGCTAGGCTGGACAAATTTACTCACAGTTTGCTACTAAAATGTACTGGAGTTGATGTGAGTATGATTGATTGATTGATTTTATTTAACTTTACTGAAATGTTGACTGCAAAGTATATTATTGCTACTTTATCCTGTTTGAACTTTGGCCACTTTCTGAATGGATGCTGTCTGGCACATTTGATTTTACTTGAAACCTAAAGTCATGTCAATAACAGTTTGAACTTTATAACAATAGTAATTATGTATTAATACAGTCTGTGGCAGAAATACCTCTCGTCTATACCTTGAAAGAATACCCCACCCCCCAATGGTAAGGCATTAGGTAGATGAAAACGCCATTGCCACTGTCTTATGTGGGTGGTATTTCTGCTGTACTCTATATTACAGGTGATATCTTAAATTTGTCTACCTAAAAAGATAAACAAGTAAAAAGGTTTTATAGGACTGATTTTGGACTTTCTCTGCTTGAGATGATTTTTCAAGATCATTCTAGTGAAATGAAGTTGGTACTCAACACAAAATTGTTTTTGTTAACTGATTATGTGACACTGATTCTTCTGTCCATCCTTTAAAATATTGATCTCTTTTATTAGATGCTGGATGCCTTGTTGACCACACTGATTCGTGAAATTCAAAATGACAACATTGAAGGAAGGAAAGCAGAAGCCAAACAAGTGGCAAGAAGATTTCTGAGATCTGTAGCCCGGATATTTGTCGTTCTCAATGTTGAAATGGTACCACTATCTGGCAAAAGGAGAAGGTAAACATTTCAAGGCTTTAAACTTTTTTTTTTTTTTTTTTATGCCTGGTATTCCCTCTTCATCTGCATACACCAAGGCATAAATTTTCCAAAGCAAAGTAAAATTCCAACTAGTTCGGGGGGTTTAAGTGTTCAGGTTGTGTGCATTTATACTTAGAAAAACATGTTAATTCTAGTAATTAACAAATTGCTTTTCTTTTAGCACTGGGACCATTCCATGTCAGGCAATTTACAAATGTAAACGTGCATTCCAAGCCCTAATTAGCATTGCTATTGAAGAGCTGTGTGAAATTGCCAACTCTTTGATTGCTCCAGTACGCATGGGAGTTGCACGCCCCACAGCTCCTTTTAACCAACTCAGCGCTAGCATTGAAGCTATTCAGGTAAGGTGTTTTTTAATTCATTTCATATCTGTTCATAATTGTATTTATTTTTTTTTCTTTCATTCTAATGAAGTGCATGCTTTTGAATTGATACAAAGTTCTTATTGAAAATTCTTTTTTTTTTTTTTTGTTTTTTTTTTTTTTCACTCTCACACTGAAATCTTGTAAAATTTAACTGGTTCTCTTTAATTTGTCAAATGATTGTAGGATAATCATTGGGATGCATCCTTAACCGTTTATTGACAGAATACTTTTTTTACAAAGAGGAAATATAAACTGTTTATTTCTGAGTTTTAGTTTGCTAACTTTCTAGTCACTTGAAAACTGCTGCCCTGGTTATACTTTTTTTTTTTTTTCCTCTCCAACTTAATTCTTGGATATTCTTTCCCATTCAAATGGAGGCTGGTTAAATTGATATGACAAATTTGAAAATTAATTTAATAATCATTAAATTGTTTTCTAAGTGAATTCATTTTCAGTCATTGACTACTTTTGTGCATAAAAGTTGCAAGAGAATTTATGTAATCTACATTTTCTTCCCTGTTAAATCTTTTCTGCGTCGGATATAAACCAGCTATATAATGGCAAATTTAATACTTCACATTTTTAGCTTTTGTTTCTAAATGTGATAGATTTAGTTTTATAATTGAAGTGTTTTTTTTTTTTTTTTTTTTAACTGACCAGAAATTAGTTCTTATTCTTGGTTTGGATTTCTGAGTCAATTCAGCATAGTTTTTATCTTGTTAGCATTTTTCCTGTATGGCTTCTAAGCTTTTAAAATCTGCCTTATCTTTCTGCACAGCAATGTTACTGTTGATTTTATTTTGCACTAGTTTTCTTTTGCTCTAAACAGATTGTTTGCATATAAAATTTAAAGTAATAATACAGTTCAGTATGCAATAACTGAGTGTTATTTCATATGCTCTTTCCTACACTTTTAATTTAAAATCTCTTTGGCATGTATATAAGATCTGAAGATAATTGATCTTTCCCTTTGTATGTTTACTTTAAAGTTTCAAATGTTTGGCACAAATTACCTGATTAATCCCATTTAAACATGCAATTTTTATGTTTTGTAAATCTTTGGAATAACTTCTGCAGATCATTTTTCTGGTACTCTGCATTGTCAAATCAAGATAACTTTGTCATAAGAAATTCTGTTGGCTTTTAGTCCATTCTGTTACATAGTGAAGTTGAGGCTGTACAGAAGATTTAAATGTTGTCTTCAAGAAGAGAATATATTAATATAATTGCCTAAATTTATGGGAATTTACACGTACAGCAGTTAGCTTTTTACCTATTTTGCTATTAATTTTCTATTTTCTCTTTTCTAGACATTAAATGCTTGCAACACGTGAATTTATGGCAGTCAGTTGCAACTAGCTTAGTTATAGTGAATGCATTTCATGATAGCTCGTCTATTTGGAAATTAGATTGAATTTCTTTCTTTTTTTTTTTTTTTCTTTTTTTTTTTTCTTTAATGGTATCCTCAAGGTGTTAAAAATTGAAACCTTGTAAATTATATTTTAGAAACTGTAAAATCAACCCCCACCTCTTATCAAAGAACCTCTAAAATACTTTGAAGTATGTAAACTGAAAATATGTATATTTTTTTTATTTATTTTTTTTTTAAATTGTTTTCTTCCTCCTTTTTTTTTTTTTTTTTTTTTTTTTTTTTTTTGTCAAAGTCTGAGTCGTTTCTCTCTTCTCTTCTCATGGAATTAAGGAGCAGGTTGAACAGTCTCGGAAAAATAGCCAGAGGCAGCGGAATCAATGGGTAAGCTATCTACTGAAGGGCTCTCTATCATCTCGTTTGAATCCTGCCCATTCTAAAATTGTGTGCGTGTGTGTACATAGGCAACTTCACTTTTTTATTATTCCTAAAAGCAAATTTTAGATTTTCATGTCCAGTTAAATAGGTTTTCATTATAAGAACGTAGGCCCCCGCCTTTTTTTCTTTGCTTATAGCTTTATAGTCTTCAGCAATTTTAAATAATACTAGAAAATGAAAATTCAGAATTCTGTGGTTGGCAGGATTCTTCTGGATATTGTAGCTATGTGACCAGTTACTGCAGTGTGCTTAAAAGGTGATTGCTGATAAATAGTAAGGAGAATCTGTTGATGGTCCTAAAATATATCTATAATCAGGATTAGTTTGCAAAAATTGGTAGGTAATATTAAAGAATTACACTGTTTATTATACATTGTATTAATTTTTTTTGGAGTTGATTGTAATGACTATGGCAATGATTTGTTAGATCTCTCCTGAAATCTATAGTTTTACTGGTGATGAATTAACCTTTTAGCACACTGGATTATTATTACTTCCCTTTCCACTATTCTTCTTAAAGGCTTCTCAATTCCAGTAACCTTATTGTTAATTTCACTCAAATAGCAAGATATAACACAATTATGAAATTGAAACACATTCAAATTCAGGGATCAGTCACTTTCAGTGGCAAGATAAACTATTTGTACAGCAAATGAAGTTACATACAGAATGATAAAGGTTAATGGAATGTTTTGAAAAGAGATTAATTTTTAATTTTTTTTTCTTGCAAATATACTTTGTAAATATTATGTAACTTTAAATGTTACTTAGCAAGGTCTTCACACATGGGTAGTTATTGTATACACAAAGTAAAACTGGGTGTAAACTTTTTTTTTTTTTTTTTTTTTTTTACTCGTTGTCTTCTAACATCTTGCCTCCCAATATTTGTAGAAACAAAATGACAAAATACTTTGAATGAAACTAGACAAAAGGAACATGTACTATGTACATGGTAAAATGAATTTCTTATGACTTGGATATTTTTTATACACTGTATAATGTGAATAGCCAATATCAATACACTTGAAAAATATTTACTTTATGAAAGCCAAATATACAACTAAAATTCTTGAATGGATTTTGAAGTTTGTTGTTTTTTTTTTTTTTTTTTTTTTTTTTTTTTTTTTTTTTTTTTCCTCCCTGTAATCCTTCTAATAATTAATACCTTTTATACTCCTTACCCCTTTCCAAATTTTTGGAACAGTTTGCATGCCTATTGCTCTTGTTTTAAAATTAGCCATTGCCAACTTGCATTTCACTCCTAAATTTAAAATTTTACAAGATAGTTTTGAACTTTTTTTCTTCTTGACCAGGGCATCAGTTTTGAATTTAGATATTTGCATTTTTTTTTTTTTTTTTTTTTTAATTCTAATCAGTGTTTTAACTGAATTTTAACTATTGAAATTTATAATTCTTTGAACATAATGCTAAAAAGACTTATCAGATATTTAAAATCTGTTTTTGATGGATAAATTACACATTTTAACTTCAACCTTGTATTTGTAATGCTTGAATGTTGCTGGTAATTACATAAATCAATTGCCCACTGCATTTTGCTGTCTTTGTAACTTTTGGATGCTTTTCACTTAAGATTTGAACTCTTTTGTAACACATTCTTGACTTGCTTCTAGTATTTAAGCCAGAAGGGCCTGATCTGCAGAAGATCCACTTGCCCCTCATTTTTGTTTGTTAATTCAATTTTGTGAATTGAGCATATTAGTTAAATATTAAAGAATAACAATAAATGTTGGCAATGTTAGAATCAATATTACTATCTGCCTCCCTGGCAACTTTCCAGGGTGCCTTTTTAAAACTTATTTTCATATTGTATTCAACAGTTATCTGATTTTTTTAAAATTGTGAATCTTTTGAAAACTGACTTTTCACTTACTCAACAGTTGGACATTTTTACAAATTTAACACTAAATTTATTGCAATCATTAATTTATTCATCAGCTAATTCTCAGCAATATTTTAGCTGAAATCTTGTGCATAGTAATTTTTATAACTGCTACATGCTCTTCTGTATTTTAACATCAGTTTAGAACTGGGATTTTCAGTGTGGACCCAAGAAATGTTTTAAATGGGCCTAGAGATACTAGTGTAGTCATTTATTAGGATTTTATTTTCTACTACATTTCACTTTTGTAAATATATTTCCTGTTACATGAGATTTCTATTTGTGCTTATGTAGGCCTAAATATTTAACCCCCCCCCCAAAAAAAAGCTACAAGAAAAAGGACAAACACTGGTTTAAAAATTAAGTGAAATGCTTTTTGTCTGTTCAAACTATAAACCTCTTTCAGAACTTTTTGTTTTGCAAATTTATTTCATAAATCTAAGTTTCTTTCAAGAATTCATTTAGACTTTTCAGTACAAAGTTTGAAAATTTTTATTTTTTTATTTTTTTTTTAAACTCCTTAAAAATTACCACTTGAATGAATTCTACTTAAATTTCGGGTCTGACTAAAATGCATTACTGGAGAGAGTGGGATGGAACTGGAGGTGGTTATATTCTGTGGTTTTCTTTTGGTTTTTCATTTCTATACTAACATCATAAATGCTTGTCTTTTTCCTTTTAGGGTAGTGAAGAAATTTTTAGTGTTGATCCATTACCTCCTCGCCCATCCTCAGCTGATCATCACTCTCAGCCTATGGCTTACATTCCACGCAGTGGCTCACCTCAGCCCATGGAACAAGGAGAACGTACTAGAGAGAGAGATGAAGATGAAATGATTTCAGGAGATGTAGAAGAAGTAAGTCACTTTTTCAGGCAAAATCTAATAGTAAATCTTAATGCTTTCAGCTGTTACAAGATCAAAGTATTAAGTTGGACCCTCAGTTATTTATGTAAAATTGAAACATACACTATATTTTGTAACAACAATTGGATATGTTAGCATTCTTAATTCTTTCAGTAACAATTGTCAGCTCGGATTGTAATTGACATGTCTGTAAAGTTAGCCTGGTCATATTTCTAAGCAGTTGACATGGATTGCTGCTTAAGTGCTTCTCAGCTCTGTCACCTGACTGATAAACTTCTAGTGTTTCTATATTATTTTTCCCTAATATAACTTCTCATGGACTTCCATTCTCATTACAGTGTATTTGTACAGTGTAAGTTGCATCTAACTTGTCAGTGTGAGAACTGATAAATAGCAAGAAATTTTTGACAAATTCTAGCAAATTCCTTTTTTCTTTTTTTATTTTGGGTGTGGGGGGGTCAATATTTTGGTAGTTTCTTCATTCTAAAGCCCTCTCCACTTTCTCCATTTTGTCTTAATGCATTTTCTTCCAACTTTATAATAGCCGACTTAGGCAATAAAATTATTTTATGAGTTGATTTCTAGCGCCAACTGAAGTTTTAACTTCGCTTGCACACTAAAAGTATCACTGCAAATAAACTTGTTGGCACCTGCAGATTAAAATCAGAAAATGCCAAGCACAAGATAGTTGGCATTATAATGTCATCAAAATATTACTTCTTACAGTGCCACATCAGTACAAGAGAATGTAAGACTCAAGCAGGACTAAAAAGTAACATGGGGGGGGGTTGTAGCTTTGGCAAGGCCATAAAAACAAGATATGTGGTCGGCATCGTAGTAAAAACTGCCAGCCATGAGATAACTTGTGGTTTGTAGTCAGTATGTAAAATGAGAGAAGGAAGCTATAGAAGGTTATCAAGGATAACATAAACATGTTCATTTCTTTTTTTATTATATGATTAAGCAACTTAGGATTTTGACCAAGAATCGGTTTGCTTAATTTTTCCTTAGTAATTTAAGTACTGAAATTACTTAAATGACTGCTTAAAATGTTATGCTTGGGTTTAATAATTAGAAGAGATTTCGGTGTAACTAAATTAGGTGTAGAATTCTTGAATAGCATATAAAATAATTGATGTAACTTAACAATCCTTAGCAACTCTGTTAAGTGTGGGTAAAAAAATCTTATTTTACACATTCAAGAATTCTGCTGCTTTTTCCACCCTGCAACTCTTCTCACAGACAGAACATTGCTCTGCCACTGTTACATTCCTTAGTCCCATCAGTTAGGACCTGCCATATTCATGATGGTAAATCATCCTCCTCATTGCTTTCGTGTTCCCTTTGTGTTAAGTAGCTAAATTCTACTCTTACACTTATAACTGTTTGTGGAACAGACTTGCAAGAGGATGCTTTCCTGACTGACAAACTTAACATCAAGTCCACTGTCAACTGATGCCCAACATTACCTCCTCCTTTTCCCTTCCTTACAGTCTCGCTCTGTAATCCTCTACCTTGAGTGGCCCTTGAGCCTTGTATTTGGTGAATTGTGTGTTATTGTTTTCTTTCTTTTTTTTTTTTTTCTTTATAAAAAGTTGTCGATTAGTTTCATTAAAAGAAATTGCTTAATTATTTAAAGCTATATTTAACTTTTTTAATGCCCTCTTTCATGATGTAGACTACCTGTTATAATTTCATTGAATGTTTGTTATTAGGTGGAAGTTGTAGAAGGATTAGTTGGAGATGAGGACCAGTCAGATCGTCATTCTGAGAGAGAGGAAGAGCATCAGTCGGACCATTCTGATCAAGAACAGCCCCAACAGGAGCAGGATGAAGGTGTGTATTTTACTTACTGAAATGGCATCTACCTTCAGCCCCTTTGTTTATTAATAATGCAGATGAATCAGATTTTAATTGCATTTAAGCACGGGGATTACTTCGCCCTGTAGCCCCAAATTAGAATAGCATTGTAATGCTCTAACAGATTTTGCAGCTTTTGCTGCATTACAGTAACACTGTAAATGGATCATTGATAGCAATTTGATAAAAGTAACTTGTGTTCATGAAGAACATAGCCCAATAACTATATTTTGTCAGTACAAAGATATATGCCAAAAAGTAAAGCTAGCTTTAAGCACTTTTAACCTTAACTTGTTGCGAAACTTTCATTTAAATCTGTCTTCTGTAGCTTGTTGACATTTGGAGTAGAATATCTAAATTTTCATAGATTGATCCTTTTTCTAATAAGGCTTTTTATCATTAAGCCATATATATGTTTTTTTCCTAACTCCAGCTGGTGGAGAAAGTGACATGGATTTGGACTTGCTTGCAGAGTCTGAAAGTGATAGCGAGAGTAGCCACAGCAATCAGGATAATGCCAGTATTCAGCGGAGTGCAGTAACGGCAGCCACTGCTGGTTCTGATGCAGGTAAATATAAAAAAATTTTTTTATTTGAGTATTATGGATGGATAGAAATCCAAACTTTATCATGACTTATCACACTCTAAAATACACAATCGTCACTCATTTCATTTTAACTTGTAACTCACTTGCACTTACCCCAAGCAAGGTGATAATGCCACTAAAATGCAAGGGCTGACTGAAAGAATGGTAAGACTTTAGGAGCTGGAAACCAATCCTAAATAAGGAACAAGGGTAAACCTAATATGTTTAAAAATAAACAGGGGTGTGAACCAGATGGTAGGCAAACCTCATGAAGAGGAAAAAGTGTGGGGATTCTCTTTTCTTTTTTTTCTTTTTTTTTTTTGTAAAGAATAGATAAATTTATACAAAGATATTAATCAAAGGCAGAGTAAGGATAACAAATGGCTCTCATCCTTGTACCCCTTCCCCCCGTTTTACGTCTTTCTATGTATATTGTTATATATTAAACTTAAGTTTTAAACTTTGTATATATATATATATATATATATATATATATATATATACACACATGCACAAACAGTTTTAAAAAAATTGTTTGGTGTCTGATTGTAAAGAAGTCTATTTTGTGCAACAGATAAAATTTTGGTTACATTTAAGATTTTATTAACCTTTTATCACTCTGTGACTTCATTTGCTGTACAAAAAGTTCATTCTGCCATTGAATGTGACTAGTCACTAAACAATAGTGTTTGAATTTCATAGTTGTGTTGACACCTACTGCTATGGCAACAGAAAACAACTTTAAATGAAATTAATAAGGATACTGCAATTGAGGTCTTGAAAAAGAATGTAGTATTAGTAATGCAAAGTTTTTTTTTTTTTTTTTTTTTCCTCACCTTCCTCTTCAAAGGTCTTGGAAGTTTAGCTTATTTTTCTGAAGACTCTGGGGAATCATCCAATCAAGATGATGATGACGAAAGTGAAGCAGCTGAAAGTGAGGAACCAGATGCTGATGAGTTGCCTTATCCAGACGAGCAGTTGGAACGTCGTAGCAATGCAGGTTCTCATGGGCAGCGCACCCTTCAAGCTCCTCAGACAATGCAGTGGGCTATTCGACAGAGAGAACCACCTGCCAATCGTACCCAAGCCAGCACTGGCAATACTTCTACTACAGGTAACGAGGGAAATGCTGACTTGACCCTGCTTTCTGTTTTGCTTTTTTTGTTCTTTTTCTTTCAATCCCAACCTCTGATTTTTTAAACTCTACAAGTTGGTAGGTGGGCACTAATTTTAAAGTGAAATGTAATAGGGTTTTCTAGAACTTGGTAGTTTTAGGTTCTTAAATGTCCACTTGCTTTTAATGTATTATTTAGTATAATTATAGAATGTTAAATGATACTTTTGTATGTTCTCTTTGACTTAAAGCTTCCAAATGTTTACAGCTTAGCTTTCTCTGTCGTAGAATTAAAATCTAAAATATTTAGACATGCATATATATATATATATATATATATATATATATATATATATATATATAAAAATGACTGTAGTCAATATGGTGAAGTGGGGAGGCTTTCAGAAGTTTTCTTTCCTTCTCCGAGGATATAAGATTTTTTTATTTTTTTTTTTTTTTTTTATTTTTAAACTGACCAAAATAATGCCACCATTATTTAATATATGCAGTGTAAACTTTTATAGTGTATTTTTCAGAGCTACTTTGAAATTAAAATTTACCACTATCACCAAATTCACAAACTAATGCTTTAATTCAATAGGCCATTGTACAATTTGCTGTCCCTAGACATGGGCAATGGAATGGGAAGTCTAGCCCTGTAGATTAAATAAAGGGTTCAGTTCAGAATTCCATGTAGGTTACTACTTTGCAGCTCCCTTTCTCCACACAGTGTTGGAAGGCTTTTGCTGCTGATGTGTGTGTGTGTACTTAAATGTCAGTTTTGTGATGAAATTTATTGGGCTGAAGAGGCCCATGAGTGTACGAGGAGAAAATCACTTTCAACACTCTCCAAAAGTTTTTTGTGTCACATAAAAATGGTATGCGATAGTGAGGATAGTTTGCAAAATCATCTGTAGGTCCATGGCTGCTCAGTTTGACATTGACAAGATGGCCTTCTGTATACAGGGTGCAGAAATATCTCCCACATGCACCTCCCAATAATGGTAAGACATTAGCTAGATAAAGCTTACCATTATGTGGAAGGAAATTCTGCTGCACCTTGTAGACTATGGTGTCTTCATCTAGCTAATATTTTACCATTATTGGGAAGTGCATGTGGAAGATATTTACACACACACACACACACACTCACTCTTTCCTTATGAAAGATCTAATGTAGATTTAAAACTGGAAACTTATCACTTTTCAGATTTAAATTTTTGTAAAGCTTCAAGTCTTTTCAAAGGTTGATTGGAGAGGGGGTTGCTCAATAGTTTTAAAACTGTTGAAACAGCACAAGATTTTTGTTTTCCTCTTGATCAGTTGCATTTTCCCCCCTTTTGTTTTTCTTGCTACTTCCCTGATGTTGATGTTTCTCAGGAACTTTACTTCGCGCAGGTGGTAGTGGGTTGATCTATATCGACCCATCTACATTCCGTCGCACACCTACAGTCACGGCCAGTACCAATGCAAACCAGGAATGTGTTGTCACCATGGCAACCACGGCCAGCCAGCTTGCGCGAGCTTTTGGAATTGTTGTGCGTCAGATTGCTGATTTAATGGCTATGTTACAAGATTATCATACTTTGGCACCAAACCTACGTAGAGTCTTGGAAGTAACAGAACAAGATGCATTAGATCAACAGGTATGACTTTTTTTTTCTTTCTCTATCTCTTTCTCTAAAATATTGACAATTATTCACTGTTCATACAAATGCTTTAATCCTTTAACATTCGACATGCTCAAACCTGCATCATAAATATCAATGCTCAAAATCTCACTGGTTTGCATGATTTCCTGCATTATTTGAGATGTCATGGCAGACTATACATGGGCAGATTGAACATTGATAGCCAATATTTACAGGGCAGGTTTGAGTGGGTGGAGTACTAAAGAGATGTATTTCTATCTGTTGTATTTATGATCATGTAAAATTTCCAGCTAATTTTCACTACTGTATTGTTATAGCATTGTCTGGCTGTACTGGCTTGTTTTTTTTCTTTGGTGGTGGGTTTCTAGCTGTTTCTAATTATGTATATACAGGCCTGCATGTAGTCATGGCCAGACAGCTGTTGTTGAAACAGCTTAAATTTTTTTGATTGTGCTCCACCTCCAACATTATTATGCTTGTTATGGTGACACTTTCTCTTTCACCCAGTTTCACCTCCTTCTTTTGACCAGGAAAATCTACCTTTCTTTTTGTTTGTTTTCATTGAAATCATTTCCTTTATTTTCAGTGGCAAACAACACAAATTAAAAACCTGTCAGATTTGGGTATTTTACTATCCATGTACCAAAAAGCTCCCACATTTTTAAATCTGCTACTAATCATACTAGCCTTGGATTTTGATACTAATATCTTCCTATTGAAATTTTCTGTTAATCATTTTACAAAATGAAAATTAGGTAGTTTGCTATATTTATCATAAAAAAATCATTAGTTCAAAAATTATTTATTATATTTTTAAAAATTACTGGATTTGTTGAATAGTTCTGATGTTGCTTTGTGCCTTGCTTACATTTATAATTAGAAAAAAAAAAACTGTGCATAAACATAGCTGAAAAAAAAAACCTTTTTGAAATTGGGGTTAGGTTAAAATTTCCAAGTTTATAATGTCTTTTCCATTGTATTACACTGTTTTGTTCTTTTCTTTTTGTGTATGATTGTGTACAGTATTATCTGAATCGTCACTTGAAACCCACCTGGGATTGGTTAATCACAGTCATGGATTCTACTGAAGCACAATTGCGATTTGGCTCTGCTCTTAGCAACAGTACGGATCCTGCCAGTCCTAGTCATCCATTGCATTCAAATTATGTCAGAAATCTTCGTGAACGGTCAAGCCGTGAGGAGCAGAGAGTTTCACAAGTTTTGGACAACAGACGAAGGACACGCTTTGGAACATTAAGTAAGTGTTTGCTTTGTTCTTTTTTTTTTTTTTTTTTTTTTTTTTTTTTTTTTCCTCTCTACCCATTAAAGCTGTTTAAAGAACTTGTGGAGTGCTACAGACTGTCAAGACTGGGTTGGGATGGCCAGGATACCTTGTGGGCATGGTATTCTGATAGTGATGGAAGTCAGCAGGGCCACAGTAATTTGGAAGCGTCAATACACTTCCCACATCCAAGTTCGAGAGACGGACTAAGGAGGGAGGGGCCTTAGACTATTGAATGGCATGCATTCCTTTGAATTTCTTATTCTTGCTGCCTTCTAGAATTCATGCAGCTATATCTGTCCCTCTTCTCTAATAAATCAAGCAAGAAAAAAGAAACCGTCTGTTGATAACATCTATGCAGTAGGTGTTAGTTTCCTGATCATATGGAATGCTTCTAGAGCCATCATTGCCCACATCCTGAAGGGGCTCGTCACAGAAGTTGAAAGATTAACATTAACCCAAAGATAAGTGTAAATTCTTTAGAGGTGATGGGGATTATAACAATAATTATCATGGAATTTTGCTCGAAGTAAATTAGTGTACCAATCCAGCCTCGTATAATGACTCACCTCCACCCCGCCTGCTTTCAAACTTTTGATAGTTATAAATTGAAAGATTATATATATATATATATATATATATATATCTGTGTATAATTTTAACATCTTGGCTGAACAAATAACTTTTCAGCACCCTTCTCCCCTTGTAACTTTCATATATTCAATGCATTCTTATTACTTAGTACCAACTAAAATTTTCTGTTAGTTACTAAAGAACTAGAACTTTGAATCTCCCTTCTATGGATAAAATAGTTTCTGCAAATTATTTCTATTGTGCCAAGAGCAAGTAATTTTTTTTTCTCTTCTACTTACAGCTGCTTCAGATGGAAACTCAGCTCGTCGAGACTTCCTGAACTATGCCTTGTCACTGATGCGAGCTCATAATGACGAACATTCTGACAGCCTGCCTGTCATTGACATTTCTGCACTTCGGCATGTTGCTTATGTCTTTGATGCTTTGATTTACTTTTTAAGGAGTGGCACCGACACAGACACTGAGGTGTTGAGGGATGGTATCTCTGTTCACTCCTGGCAAGATCATGAGCTTAATGACAATGAGGAGCATGATGATGATCCCGTCAATAGCGTTGCTCTGGATTCAGAAAGTGTGGATGGAGACAGTGATGTTGGTGGTCGAACAGGAAGAAAGCATCCTTTCTTCCAAAGGTCAGATTCCACCATCTTTCTTGGCTGCCCACCACCCGATCCTTTCAGTATCCCCTTAGTTGAAGCACTTCCCCTGGCAGATTTGCCTCATTTGCTTCAGCCCAATTCTCGCCGTGAGGATCTGTTTGGTATTGCACGACAGGCCATTCATCATGGGGAGACGGAGGAATCTAGCAATGATGCTGCAGCTGCCACTGGTTCCAGTGGTGGTCTTGGCGGGATTCTTTCATCTAGCCCATTTGAGAAAAAAATGCCTGTACATTTGTCTTTATCGTTACGCCTTCAAGAACAGCAGAATGTCTCTGCTTCCACGGTTGAAGCTTCGACTTCAACATCAGAGAGGCAAGAAACTGCAAGCACCAGCGTCATCGTGAAGCCTGCAGGACAGGCAATGATGGTGGTCAATACAACCACCTCAGCCGGCTCGTCTTTCTCTTCGGCTGTCTCCTCTTCATTGGCTACATCCTCAGCTACAACCACTACAATAGCCTCTAACATAATTGATGTGGCAACTGCTGCCACTGAAGCAGTTAATGCATTGATCGCCCCCACTGGACCGACTCCAATGGACACATCAGATGTGGATGCACGGTCTCAACAGACTGTCCTACAGTCAATTTCGGCTGCTGCTTCGGCATTGAATTCGACCCCTCAATCTGTAAAGCAGGAGGTTATTTCTCTATCTACTCAGCAGCAGCAGGCTAGTGTAATAGTTCATGCCAGTTCAGCCCAGGGTGGCACTAGTGCTCCTCCTGTTGCGCCATTATCAGCCTCGTCTAACTTGCCAACAGGACCCTTGTTCACCTCCTCCAATTCCAGTGTAGGGGGCTCTGCCATTGCTGGCAATACCAGTGTTGGTAATGCCAGTAGTGGCAGCAGCACCAGGGTGGTTGTTGTATCCTCAGATTCTATTGAAATGGTTGCTGCTCCTCAGAGTGCTGTTTCCCAGGTTTCTGCTTCTATTCAAACCGGTCTTGGTAGTGATGGTGCTCAAGCACCTGCCGTAGTACCATCAGCTAGTACTGGTCAGCCATCATCTTCATCCAGTGTTGCAGCAGTCACTCCCATAGCTTCTCAGTCAAGTTCAGGACTTGCAAGTGCATCGACATCAGACCCTCCTGTTGTTATTGCAGACAGGTATGAACAATTATGGCTTTTTTTTAATTTTGAAACTACTAATTTACTAAAGTAATTTTTTTCTTTCTTTCATGAAATTTCATACTGGTGTATGATTTATTTGGTTTAGAATTGTAGCGCTCTAAAACAGTAGTTTGATAAGTGCTCTATCACATTGTGGCATTTTTTAAAAATTTTATTTATACCCCCCCATTGTCTATATCTCTAAACACTCTCTTGAGCACTCTTCCCTCATAAATATAGCATATTTTAACTGTTACAAAAACAAAAAACACAAATTATACTTGATGGGGGGTGGGGATCACCTCCAAGACACTAAACAAATTACTGTGCATGTATGACAAAAATGACTTCTATGTCTGAATTTATTTGTTCACTTGGTGAAAGGTTGTAGTATTACATATGTTGGTGACACAACCACTACATTATCATGCTGATTAATGTGTCATTTACCCAGTATTTCAATTAAATTGATGTCAACAACTGACAATAACAAAACTTAAATCTGATAAATTATATCAACTAATATGCACACACACACGCACACTATAAGTATTAAAAACTAACAACCAAACATCAATAAAATGTTACTTAAGCCTTCTAAATGTGTGAAGATGTTATTAGAAAAACAAAACTGTTGTCACAAAAACAAATCTGTCAGCTTATGAAAGCCAAAAGTACTCACATTGGACAATTTATATTTAAACTGTACCAGGATGATCCAAAGTATTGGAAGGGGAGTAAAAAAAAAAAAAAATATCCTTAACTTTAGCTTGTCTTTAAACTTTTTGCAGCTGTTTGTTTTTTTTGTTTGTTTTTTTTTTTATATATATGTGGGATGAAAATTTGAGAGAATGAGATAAATTGGTCAATTTAATGTTGACATGAAAGCAAAAGGCAAACTTGCATTTAATCTTGGTGTGTTTTGTATAGAAACTCGCTCCTAAACTGTCTTGCAAATGGTCATGGCAAAGTGTGTGTGTGTATATATATATATATATATATATATATATATATATAAAAAAGGCTTAAACACTAATATTCCATGGTCATAATTTATTCCATTGGAATCATAAATATGATCCAATTCATCAGACCTACACATTCAAAAAGAAAACGGAAAAAACAACTCCTAAAATAGAATTTAGAGAGAGTGTAAGTATGAGTGTGGGACAAATGTTAGAGCTAAAGAGAGAGGGTAACAGACGAGAGGAGGTGGGAGATTAAAACTTAGCAGAGAGAAGTTTTAGAGAGGTGAGTTGAAGACAGTTTAAGTGATAGAAAAATGAATGTTGTCAGATGTCTAATACATTAAAGATGTAACTGGAAAGGATACATTTTGTGGTGACATACACACACAATAGACAATCTAATCTTAAAGATCAGAAGAGGGAGGGAGAGGAAAAGAAAAAGGGGCGGGGGAAACTAAAACTGAAGCTTACTGAAAGGGCCACAGTATAATTAAGAAAATTTGACAAAATTAATATTGACTACAGGTTACAAATCAAATATAAACATATAAAAAATAAATAACGATTATCTAATCTAGCAAGGACCTATATTTTTATGTTCAAAAACACATGCATATACACAGTATATATATATACACACACACACACACACCATTCTATTTTTATTTCTGAAGTTTGTTTTTTTTTTTTTTTTGTTTTCTTTTTGAATTTGTAGGTCTGATGAATTGGATCGTATTTACGTTTCCAATGGAATAAATTATGACCATGGAATATTAGTGTTTAAGCCTTTTTATTATATCCTTACTCTGTCCTGGACATTGAATTCTACCTGGATTCTATCCTCTTGGAATTTTTTATTCAAAAAATATGTATGTGTATGCACCTATGTATATATATTTTGCATATATATATATATATATATATATATAAATTCTACTAAATGGGAGTCCCACTTTGTCTTTGTTCTTGTGGAATAAACTTCTTGATGATTTCAGATGATTGGCAAAACACAAAGCTTTCCAAATTTTTCCAGTTTACAATAACACCTCAAAATAGTGTAACAAGGCTACAATAATTATCTTTCCAGAAAAAAATTGAATCGTAGTTCTGTTTCAAATACAAATCATACTATGCTAGCTACAATCGCAACATGACCAAGACAACTAATTAAAATCCTGTAATTGATATCTAATGAACTTAATTCCAAATATCTAAGTGTAGAACCAATGAAAATTTTTCATATATATAGCAAGCAATCTAGGGGTCATGACATAACCCTAAGAAAAAAAAAAATAGGAAGAGTTGGTTTCTTCCTCTCATGTGTATGTATGTGTGTGTCACTTAGCTGATTGGTTTTACTGTTGGCATCCAGACTCCAGAGTTTCATATGTGGACCCTCCAAAGATTTATTCCCCTATAAATATACCAATTACATAAAATTGGTAAGCAAAACAAAATTTCAGGAGTCCCGTTATAGACATTCACTTCTGTTAGATGGTTTTTAGTGTGTAATTCATGTAGATAATTAGCTACTGTTTCAGTTCTCGTCTGGGTTAATGAGTGTTCTCTTCACAAATATAAATTCATTAAGTTTCATGGCCACATAAAATTATTCCCATAACAAGTATGATTGGATTAAACGAAAACTTTTGCCTTTGACTGGCCAATCAGAAATGAGTCATATGCTGCATGCAAACCTCACTTTCTCTTAATTTCAGCAATATGCTGCAGATTGTTCCTGGTACTTCGGATGCTCAAGTTGACTTGGTTGGTGCCAATGAAAATGTCTCCAATACGGTTGTCATTGAAACTTCTCGAGCTCCAACTTCAGGAGCTGCATCCAGGTAATGGTTAGATTTTCTCCTGAAAACAGCATTGTCAGTTTTAATGTCTACTTTGGTTTGTGTAAGTGATTGGAGCAATTAGAACTAACTTAGATGGGACTATGGTGTCAAGAGCTAGTGTTCAGGTTAGAGCAAGAATACATCTGTGAAATATGCACCGTGGCAAATCTAATTAAAGATACCCCCCCCACCACACACACGTGTACATGTTCTCACACACATACACACACGCACACACCTCTTGCTCACTCTTGTGTGCTTGCTCTCTCTTGTGCACACTCACTCACACACTTACTCTCTGTGTTCTGTCTTTGTACCAGTCTTTACCTTTTTTGTTGGTGGGGGGAGGGGGCCAGTCAAAATTTTGTTTCGTATTTGGAGATGTACAATTGTGAAACTAACACAACCTGTTTATTCACCTCTCCCAGTAGAGCTATAAATTTATCCCCAATATTTTGTCATGTTCTATGTTGTTCAGTACCCCCCCCAAAAAAAAATAAAATCATAAAGCAATGTAAATAAATTTAAAAAAAAAAAAAAAAAAAAATGGAAAGCTGGCCAAGCAAGATTGTTAACTAATTTGCACACATGCTCTTGGGGTAGAGTATGAATCTTTCTTCTCTCCTAGCTATATGTTAAATGGCAGAGTAGTCTGGGCTCTCCAGCTGTGGTTGGCAACTAATCTAGAACTAATTTGAATTCAAAATTGTTATACAGCCCTTGCATTATATTATGGAGCCATTGAAAGGAGTTGTGGTGCAAAGTATTGGGCTCTATGATCTCAACTGAGATCAAATAAATAAAAGATCATTGAAAACAATCTTCCCATATTCTTAATCACGTAATTAAGATCCTTTTAAAAGAAATGTAGCTTTTGTTCTGCTGTTAAAATCTGATGCATGTTAATAAAAACTGAATTTTCTCTCATCCTCAGAACTCAGAACTTGATTGGTCAACAAGTATCACATGATATTTTACTTGGAAGATGGCGTTTGTGTTTGGATTTATTTGGAAGAGTATTCTGTGATGATGTTGGTGCAGAAGCTGGATCTGTGATACATGAATTGGGTGGATTCCCAGTAAAAGAAAGCAGATTTCGAAGAGAAATGGAGAAAATCAGAAATTCTCAACAGAGAGATTTGTCTTTGGAGGTAGTTACTCTTTACTTAAAAATATCCCATTTCAAATTTTTATTGTCAATTCATTGGATTGTATTTTCCCTTAAAATTCATCTGTTCATTAAACTTTGGTGTTTTGTACAATTGTCCTAAAATGATAGGAAAAGAATTTTTATTTTTATTTTTAGGTTTTTCTTTTTTTCCGTTAAAAAAATATGTTGCTTGAAGATAACTGTTCTATTTTTGTTTTTAGGTGGAGCGTGATCGAACCTCTCTGATAACACAAACCTTTAAACAACTGAATACTCAGTTTAACCGTCGGACCAATGCCACTGGACCACCTTTGGCTGTGCACAAAGTGAAAGTTACTTTCAAAGATGAACCTGGAGAAGGAAGTGGAGTTGCTAGAAGTTTTTACACTGCTATGGCTAATGTAAGTGGATCATGTGTATGACACCCCCTCCTCAACTTTCCCAGACTTACTTTTCATTTAAGTTAAAAAAAAAAAAAAATTTATTTGCATTCAATATTTTAAATTTTCTTATTTTTAAGGCTGTCCTCACATCTGAAAAATTGCCATCTTTGGAAGGGGTACTTGTTGGAGGTAAAAGCTTACAGTACAGTGAGTATTTCTTAACTAATATTTTTTATGTCAAAGAATTTTAATTTTTTTCAAAATTCCATTTAAGCTTCTCTTCCCTTCACCCACACACTGATTAAGATTTCTTTTAAACTCCAATTTTCTTATTAAATTAAGAATGCCCTAAACCAGACCTTTTCAAACTCTATTAGTGATACTATTTGCTTTTTAAAATTAAACACAACTTAAGTTTTGTTTGCCAAATATACAAGTCCTTAAAGTCTGGACACATAGAAAAAATGCATATTGCATTGGAATATTAACAAATAACATCTTCACTATGATTTGCATCATTTGTGATGCAAAGGTTGATGCACTTTGCAAGATTCACATGAACCCAATGCAATAACTCCACATTGCAGTCAATTTTAGAACATTCACTCTTTATGGATTCAATCAAGTGTGTTGCATCTGTGATTTTCATAGAGTACACCTTCTCTTTTAGCATAGCCCAGAAAAAAATTTGATTCTTTCTTGCTTTTGACATGTTTAATCTGTGGAGGCATAAAAAAAAAAAAAAAAGTTGTGATTTCCTGTGTGTCCAGACTTTAGGAACACCTTGTATAATTCAAAATGTGTATAAAAGAAAATTAAGAAACATTTGATTTCTTCATGATTCACTTAAGTGATTGCTTTACAATTACTGAATCAAAAGCATTTTATATGAAGAACAATTCTAACGAATTTATAAATTTCCTTATACCTCAAGAAAATACTAATTTTCTGGTATGTTTCGTTCCAGAAGTAAGCAGGATCATCCATTTTACCAGACGAATGTAATTCATGTAATAACAGCTCAATAACGTACTTTGACCCACGAAATAGACATCATTCAAGAATCTCTTAAATATATTAAAGTGGGGTGGTTGTTTTTGTTTTGTTGAATAATTTTTGTAGATTAGCATTCATTACTTTACTGAAGTCATGACATTTGTCAGAAATTGAAAGCTATTTTTCTTCATTTTAGGGGGCATGGCTGACCTAGTTTATAATATTGATTCTGTGATTTTTTTTTTTTTTTTCTTACAAATCTTTAATTTGAAACTACTTGTGTGATAACTCTGTACTACTAATTTGGTTAATGTGAGTGCAGTTTCAAAAATGACATGGCATAAAAAGTATAGAATGCTTTAAGTTGGGGAGCAATTTAACACTTTCTATTTATATTATAAACAATGCTGCTTTCTTCCGAAATGCTTAAAAACAAATTTTCAAATCTGACAAAAAATTTTGGGGAAGAACTCCTGAATGTTCATCTACAAAAATTATTTCACCACCTGCAAAATAAAAAATAAAAAAATAAAAAAAAAATTCATCTACTTTTTATGAGTGGACCAGTCAATTTTAGTGCCAACCTATGCTCATATTCTGCTCATGTACTGTTCTTTTTCTCACCTCAAGAAATTAATTAACTTTCATTTCAGACTTGATACAGCGACTCCGGTCTCGTGAAAGAGAGCGGGAGCGTATGCGGTCTGCATTACAAAGACGCACGAGAGACACCAGACGTACTCTCTCATATGATGCTCCTCCATTTTACATGCCTTCTGACAGCAGTACCAGTAGTAGTGGGGGTGGAGCTGGTGGTGGTAGTGGCAGCAGTGGTGGAGGAGGAGGCGGTGGCAGTGGTGGTGGTGCCGGCAGGCGAAGCAGCAGTAGCAACAATGACCAGCCAACCTCGGAGAATGATAGCTCTTCAAATTACAGACGCCAATTAGGTGAAAGACTTTATCCAAAAGTCAGAGACTTGCAGCCAGTAAGTTTGCTTAACATCCCCCTACATTAAAACTGTCACCTCACTGATGCAGTAAGCACGTACCCTCTTTTCAATACTCTTTACATTGCAAAAATATGGATATTTGACTTCTTTTTTTTTTTTTTTTTTTTTTTTGTGTGTGTGTGTGTGTGTATATATATATATATATATATATATATCTATCACAGCTGTTTAAAACCCTTGTTTTTGTCATATAGGAAAATCCAACATGGCGCGTAAACGAAATATTCGGCAAAAAATCTCATTCGTCAGTAACATTTTAAACACCTCATAGAATGTAAAGTTCTTAAAGAAAACCTATGCCAAAGTGTTTTCCTGAATCCTTGATGACTTGGCTGTCCGAAAATGATAAGATCAAGATGAAATAATGAAACTGATCGTGAAAAATACAATTATCTCGCATAACAGGTTTTCGATCAATTAGTAAACTTCTGGACCTTTTTTAGGCGACCTTATAGGATCCAGACGGCTATTTTTGCACATGGAATTATTCACTGGTAATTAATCTTCGATTTGGCTGTGGAAAATGTCACTTTCGGCGGTTAGCATTAAGAAATTATGCCCAATTTTCTGAGAAAAATCCCCTTTTTTTTTTTTTTATGAAAAAAATATTTATTTTAAACAAAATAACATCATTCAAAATTCATTCCTTTCTCTTTCATTTGGCATGAACATCATTGAATAAAAAAGAAAGGCTAAATGGACCGGTGATGGGAAATACGAAAGATATCTTGGCCCGAAAAAAAAAACAATGTCGGCTGCTAAGTTGTTGTTGTCATCACCGGGTCACGGGGTGTTAAAAACAAAACAAAACTCAAGCCATTGTTCAAACATAGGTTATATGAAGCCCTAGTAATTGTGAACCCCCCTTTTTTTTTTTTTTTTTTTTTTTTTTTACTTTTGCTTTTATCTGGGGGTGGTGGGTTTTATTACAACTTGTTCTAAGGTTTGCCGTCCGTTTATTGCTGGCTGGCTGACCTTTGACCTAGACGTCAGTCAATTAGGTTTATTTTCCCTTATCGCTATTTTTAGGGGGAAAAAAAAACCTTTTGGTTTCTGGTGGTTAGGAATTGCAGATAAATCTCTTGCCTTTTACTAAAGATTTCCGTGGCCAGGTGTCAATTTTTTTTTAACCCTTGGCAGTCATATAATTGAAAATTAACAATGGATTTTGTCGCATTTTGAACCCCTAGGAATGTTGATTTCCTTCAAAACTCTCAATTTTATGCCTGAAATAGTTTGATTATGATTTAGGCTTTCTGATTTTCAAAAAAAAAAAAAAAATGGTTAATTTCCCATTAATGGGGGAAATATTTGTTTAGAACAAGAAAAAAATGCAAAATTTTCACTTTTTTCACATTTTACCCACTGAAAAAAATTTTGAGTCATTTACACCAGCTAATTTTACTTTTAAATAAAAGAATATATCTTTTGCTTTCAGAAAATACCTAGTTTCATGGGGTTCAGATCAAAAGTTTCCTTGATATTAGTTTAGGTGATAAGTCATTTTTCAATATTTTACTCCTAAAAAAGTATGAAAACCCATATTTTGAGAGAAAATAAGCTGTGACAAAATGACTTTTGCTATTTTTGTGATGATTTTCACTTGGGAAAGAAAATTTTTTACCATAGGAAACCTGAATTGACTTTATTTAAGTTCAGTGGGTCTGTAGGAAACCTCAAACAGCTGTGATATATATATATATATATATATATATATATATATATATATATAATATATAAATAAAAAAAACTTAAGGTGTTGTATTTATGGGATAAAGTGCTCAATATCAGAGATAGAGCATGTGTAAATACAAAAGTGAACATTGAAGTCAACACTTAGAGGCCTCTAAGTGTTGTCTTCAATGTTCACTTTTGTGTGTGTATGTATAGTGAAATGAAGAACCAGTAGGAAATGTATCTTCATCTAACATGTTTCACTTTTATTAAAGCTTCATCGGAGATTGAGATAGAAATGAAAAAGCAAAGATTATTGGTATGTTAAGATTTTGGTTGGTTCTTATTGGTCAGATATGTGTCACATGTATAAGCACAATGGATAATATATAAATATGTGTGAGGAACATTGTGTAGGTTAAAATGTATGATGCAACAAACTGAGGGCAATGGCTAGATCCCTTGGCAGGTAGGTGTGATCAGAAAACTAGTATTTTTCATTCCCCCCCCCCTTCTCCCATTTTAATAAAGTGTATTCTAGTCATAGTGCCTCATTCCCTCATAGACTGTAACTTTGTGAATTTCATTAATATTCTATTTAGGCTGCCGGTGATTCTTCTGATGTGTTGGCTGAAAATGTTATCTTAAAGGGGGAAAAAAAAAAAAGCTTTATTCAGTGTTTTGGCTTGTGTGTGTGTATATATATATATATATATATATATATATATATATATATATATATATATAGTGGTGCACTATGGTTAATAAGGTCTACTGTTTTAACCTGATGGTTATTAAGTGGGTGACTGTTATATTTCTGTATAGTGGCTATTGACTAGAAATAATTGTAGATACAGATATAATTATTTAACTTCTTCTCTATTATTGATTACTATATTTGTGTTCATTCCTAGTTTTCTTTTTTTGTTTTCACACCCCAAGAAAGGCAATAATGATAAAGTAACTTAGACTGAGGAAAAGAAAACTTCAAGGAGAGAACAAAAGATTAAATCATTTATAACTGAGGAATATTCAAACAAGAGAAATGTAAAAAAAAAAAAAAATAAACTCTTGCAATACTGTAAGGGTGAGCAGATCTGGGGTCCTTAGATCCCTTGTATTAGTACTTTGTTTTTAATGTCTTATTTCATCTTAGATACTCAAGTTAATGATTAAATATATTCTATTGTTTAATAGACAGTCTGACCTCTTTAATCCATTGAAATTGAAAGCTATTTTTCTTCATTTTAGGGGGCATAGTTTATAATATTGATTCTGTGATTTTTTTTTTTTTTTTTCTTACAAATCTTTAATTTGAAACTACTTGTGTGATAACTCTGTACTACTAATTTGGTTAATGTGAGTGCAGTTTCAAAAATGACATGGCATAAAAAGTATAGAATGCTTTAAGTTGGGGAGCAAATCAGAAAGCTAGCAATAAATACTACACTTTAAGTTTTTGAAGATCAAAGATGACTAGGAAGCAAGAAGTCTGAAGAGTTTCACAAGCGAGAAGTGTGAAAGAAATTATTAGCATTGGACTTAGTTACATCTAGCCATTGCAAGTGTAAAATTAGACCTTGCTGCCAATCTAATACTGAACTTAAATTCATAATGTCTAGGAAAGAGGAAAGCTCATCAGAACATTTACCATGAAAATATTTATAGGAAAGGCACAGGGAAGCTACATTATGGTGGTGGAAAAGTTACTGAAGTCAAGATACCAGGTCAGAACCAATAACATTACAGGTTCTTTGTATTTTATCTAGAATCTCTAAATACATAGCAGAAACATCAGATGTGATGGTATGAATAAATGGTAGACTTGTAAATATAAGATTCTAAACATGATATAGTAAACCAACTTGAGAGTGAAATGTCTCCGTTTTGGGTTGAGAAATCTGATGTTATTACTGAAAAATCAAATAAGCTGAAATGTTTCAGTATCATAATTCAAGCAATCCATGTAGAAATGGAAATTTCATTATCCTTGATTGACTGATTGCTTCATCCACATTCTAAAATAAGAACATTTGGAGATGATTCACAAAATGATTTAAGAATGTTTCTTAAAAATCTATTAATCCAGCTCTCTCTCATCCAGATTTTGGCTCAAAATTTTAATATAACTAGACTTTGTTTTCTAACATGCTGACACGTGTTTAAATTTTCAGTTTTTAGTATTGTTGAAGTTATTGGTAATACTTTTTGAAATTTACAAACTTCATTCAATTTTACAAACCAATCTATGAAATTTGAATAAGCCAATTTGTTTAGAAAAATCCTTTGACAAAACACCCTACTTTGCAGTTTAATTTCTTTAATTTAATTTTATAGAACTTCATGGTAAACAATATTTTTAAGAATTTATTTTTTTCCTTTTTAACAGTGAAGAATAAATTCTTCAGATCGGATTTCTTACTCTTGAGTATGCAATATATAACTTGTCATGTGTAAATATTTCTTTCTGGAGCTAAATTCCAACTTTTTGAAGTGTTTGGCCTTGTTAACTAGTTGCAGTTTCAGCAATATAATTAAGTAAAATATATAAGTGTAGGTTCCTCCATTAGGTCATGTAAAAAAGCAGCATATCACGATTAAAAAAACGCTCGATTGTGACAAGGTGATGAGATTACTATGGATGACCAAAATTGACAATTTTTGCAAAGTAAGCAAATGCGGTTTTTCGTTTTTAACTAGTACTTTTTAAATATTAACATTTTTATTCAGCAATTATGTAATATCTTTTTTATTTCATACTTTCTTAATTAGATAATTATTTAAAGTTTTTTATTAATTAGATAATTGTTTAAAATTTTTTAAGGATTATGTCATGTATACATTTTCATACGTAGAAATTATGAACGTTTTTTGTCAATTTTTATAAAAAAAATATTTGGGGTCAAACGACTTATGTGCTCTTCAAATTTCAATTCGTAAATTTACTTTTTCATTAATGTCATCATTGCATTACATGCTTGAAAGCAAAGAATTTTAAATGATTTTTGAAGTATTAAGTTAATGAAGAAAAATTTTAAAATTTGTAAAAAAAATACATTATTCATTGAAAAATTTTTCATATAGGTTTTTTAATGTCATTTTTTTTTTTTTTTTTTTTTTTTTTTTTTTTATAATTCAGAGCAGATTTTCTATGATATGGGGTACTGTTTTACAAAAAAAAACTGGTGATTTACTTTCTACAAAGTGTCCTTTTTATAACTAATAAAACAAATCCAGGCTTGAAGATTTAATTTCTCGAAATTTCATGAAAATATGTAAGTGGGTGGAAACATGTTTTAAAAAAAAAAAAAAAAAAAAAAATTTCAAAAATTTCTTTTGTGAATAAGTCCTGAAAGTTTCATTAAAATCCGACAATTATTTGTTTTTTGCAAGAATTTTTAAACTTCGGTATCAAATTTATGCCAAAAGTGGAGAAACCTATATAAGTGGCTTAGGAAATGCCTTATGAAGATCAGTCTCTCTTTGTTGGAAGGTGTGTATGGGGAGGTTTGACTGTTTGTGGCTGTAGTGAATTCATTTGAATTGTCCCTAGTGTAGTATTGAGAGAAAGGAGAATGTGAACTTATTTTATGTTAAATAATAAAACTTAATTTTTTCAAAGAAACTAATGAAAATTAATTGTACTAAGCTATGCACCCTAGTAAAAAAAAAAAAAAAAAAAAAACTGTACTTTGTACCTCTTATCTGTTCAACTGATCATAACCAAATTTTGTGGAGAAGTGCAATGTATGACTATTTTAGAGTGTGATGGACAGACTAATGGAAGTCACAGAACTTTATATATAGATAGATTAGTCATTTTTGATCATTTTATTTAAATTGCTAGTCTGGCTTTGAGAGGTTCAACCTGGTTTTTTTTTTTTTTTTTTTTTTTTTTTTTTTCCAGTTTTGTACTTGTAAGGAAATACTATTGCAGCCATATTGAGATTTGTACCAGCTAATCTTTATAAATGGTTAAAAAATTTTTTATTTTTCTTGTTACAGTCAATGGCTGCAAAGATCACTGGGATGTTACTGGAATTGTCTCCGGCCCAATTATTGCTTCTGCTAGCATCAGAAGAATCACTCCGTCAACGTGTTGATGAAGCAATGGAAATTATCCTCTCTCACAACAAGTAAGTTTGAATGGGTGTTGTTTTGAATTGAAATACTTTTTAATGTTTTTGTCTTAACATTCCCCGATCTGTAAATTGTTTATTACTCCCCCACACACCATACCTGATATTTGAATGATTAACTAAAATAACTTGGTATTTATTGCTTCTTTTGTATCTTTTCAATCTAGCCGTGACATGAATCCAGAGAACCTGCTTGACTTGGATATCTTCAATTTAACTGCTGACAAAAATAAAAAGTCCAATAATGTTGAGCGTCGCAGTGACGTTGATGAAGAGGAAGATTTAGAAGACAATGCACCGTTATTTTGGCAGCCTGGAAAGCGTGGCTTTTATTCCCCCCACCCAGGGAAAAGCTCACCAGAACGGCTCAATGCCTTCAGGAATGTGGGAAGGTAAGGAAAGTGCAAATGTTAACTTTTATTTTTCTTTTTTTTTTTTTTTTTTTTTTTTTTTTTCTTGTTCTTGTTCTTGTTCTTGTTGTTTAGTTAGTTATACTAAATAAGTGACTTTTATGGTTAATTTGAGCCACCATATATTACATGCTGTATAGTGTAAGAGGTTAAAAATTCATGCATTTGCAGTGACCAGTTGCAGTATATACACAGGTAATTTTTTTTTTCCCCCCAGAGGGGTAAAAATCAGGGACTCCCTATACATGAAGCTGGCTTGTGCACAAGTGTGTGTATATATATATATATATATATATATATATATATATATATATATATATATATAAAAATGGCTACTGAAAGCTAATGCCATTAATCATATATATTACCCATTAAACAATTTCTCATTAAGGCATCAAGTAAGACCTAAATCCATGAGGATGTAAATGCAACCAAACCACATTCCTTTCTTTTTGGGCTGAGAGTAGAGAAATTAAAGCCTGTTAGTTTCTATTTTTCATCTCATAAGTTCAACCATTTACACATTCAACAAAGTTCGTGTTTGTGTACATGACTTGGTTATGGGTAAGTCCTGCCAGCTATTTTAATTGCTAATCTGTAAAGACTTGACGATATGATGCTTGCTATTATGTGACTCGTGTAGGAATTCGTCTCTTTAATTATTTTTCTTAACTCTTTGCAGGGTTATTGGTTTATGCTTGTTACAGAATGAGATGTGCCCCTTGTTCCTCAATAGACATGTGATCAAGTACATACTTGGTCGTAAAATTGGGTGGCATGACCTTGCCTTCTTCGATCCTGTTATGTATGAAAGCTTACGACAATTGGTTGTTGACTCTGAAACAAAAGATGCTTCTCTATTATTTGCTGCCCTTGACATGAATTTTTGTATGGAACTTTGTGCCGAAGAGGTAAGTTATTTGTTGTTGGGTCTTAAAGGTTAAGCCATAAAAAGAAACAAAACCATCAAAGAACTCTCATTATATATTATTTATTTTTGTCATGTTGACCTTAGAAAAGTATTTTTTGGAAGTTACAAGTTATATGGCTTGGCTTTCACAGACATGCTTTATAACCTGCAAGTAATGAACTACAAATATCAGGGAATATCCTGACCTTGCATTAAATAGGAGAAATGTGAATATTATTAAATGTTAAAAGGGCAAAGGAGCAGTAGACTCTAACCCTTATATATATATATATATATATATATATATATACTCTCTCTTTTTCTCTCTCTCAGGAAGAGGGGCTGTCTAGCATAATTCATGTTTGTGTCGATAATTTCTTTTCTAATGGTTTTTTTTTTTTTTTTTTTTTAAATTACAACTTCTTCAGGGTGGTGAGACTGTTGAATTGATAGCTGGTGGTGCTGATATTGAAGTCAATGCACAAAATGTCCATGATTATGTGCGCAGGTATGCAGAGTATCGTATGGTCAAAGTTGCTGAAAAAGCTTTAAAGGTAAGTGGTGTTTTTATTTTTTCTTCCTCCACTATATTTACTTGAGTTCTAATTACATTAAATCATTTATAACTGAGGAATATTCAAACAAGAGAAATGTAAAAAAAAAAAAATAAACTCTTGCAATACTGTAAGGGTGAGCAGATCTGGGGTCCTTAGATCCCTTGTATTAGTACTTTGTTTTTAATGTCTTATTTCATCTTAGATACTCAAGTTAATGATTAAATATATTCTATTGTTTAATAGACAGTCTGACCTCTTTAATCCAGCAATTAGGCCATAGAAAATGCCAGATGACAAATTCTCATTCCGTGTGTGTGTATATATATATATATATATATATATACACACACGGTGAAATGGATAAATTGTAGTTTAAATTATGCAAAAAATTAAGATATATTTAACAAAATTACATGAATATATCTTAAAAATACTAAAGAGTAAATTTATTCAATAAAATTACCAATAGTTTCAACTATTGCCTGCAAGTAACTTCAGAGTCTAGACAGTCTACTTGTTGGTGAATGCAGCCATAATCCTCACCTCTGTTTCATTCTTAGTGTTAGGACTTTTGTTGGTCTCTCACTCAGCTGTGCCCCCCCACACACAATCAAAAGGGTTGCAGTCTGGGGTTAGGTGGCCAGATGTAAAGGGTGATGTGGTCACAGAAATTCTAACAGCTATGACTGTTTTTCTGCTTGTGTGACATGGTGCAAAGTCCTGTTGCCAGACATATGGTCTTCCAGCAGCCACCCTCATGACCCAGAGCAGCACCACCTTGTCAAGGCACTTGATGTAGGCCTCTGTGTTGAGTTAAAGCCCTTGTGTGAAGATGAATAGAGGCATAACATTGCCATCACTAGTAATCACTCCAAAAACCATGATGTTGGCTGGTTATATTGTCCAAATTTTTCTGAATCCTCTGCACAGTCCTCAGATTGACACCCACTCTCCAATGTTTGTATTGGAGTTTGCAGACAGTACAGCATGCCATTTGTAAATTTCTGGGAGAGTATATTGTGTCATGGTGCTCTTTTTCTCACAGGTAGTGCCCAACTGACCCTACTGTACTATGCAGGCTAGCATAAATGTTAATGCAATCCTTAAATGCAGTGATCAATTTTTGAGTTCTGTAGTTTGTTGCCTATCACATCTACTCCTCCATACCTATTGTGATGAAGGCCCAATCAAGAACCCTCTGCAGGAGCTAGCTTAATGGTACCTCTATTGGGCGGCTGTTAAGCTATATATGCCAGATCAAAATTAGATATTATGGTTTACTTAATTGTTTTGGCTAAATGTTTTTTTTTCTAAATTTTATTGCAGCACCTTAAATTGGGTGTCTTTGATGTCATTCCTGCCAATTCCTTAGATGGATTAACTGCTGAAGACTTCCGATTATTACTAAATGGAGTTGGAGATATTAATGTACAGACGCTCATCAGCTACACATCCTTTAACGATGAAAGCGGTAAGATGCTTGTGTGCTTGCGTGTGTCTGTGCGTGTCTGTGCGTGCTTGCGTGTCTGTGTGCTTGCGTGTCTCTCGTCTTGTTACAAAGGCTGCTTGGAAATCGGCTGCCATTTCCTATCACATTCCATATATTTTTCTGATGGTTTGTAGTATTTTAACTTTGTCCTCCTAAAACAAAGGGGGGTGGAATCCTGAACTTGTCATGGTGTTAAAAAAAAAAAAAAATCTTTTTAGTCTTTGGAAGCTGCTAATAGTGGAACATTATTAGCAGGTTATGCTGGGAACTTCTCAACACCACTAATGTGTGCATGTACACAAATTCCAGTTAGTTGTTATTGCTGTGTATCCCACTGCCATGAAATTGAATTAAAAAAAGAATTTGCAAACTGCTCGTCCTTGTTTTCTGCAGAGATATTTAAAGGGAAAATCTTGCTTTTTAAGTTGCTCTAGAAATTAAAATTTTTTCCTTTTTTTTTTTTTTTTTTTTTTCTTCTTGCTTTTAGGTGAAAGCAGTGAGAAAGTTCAACGTTTCAAGCGATGGTTTTGGTCTGTTGTTGAAAAAATGAACAACCATGAAAGGCAAGATCTAGTAAGTACTACTGTTTTATAATAATTCAGATTCAAAGCATATATTTCATGTATTATTTTATTTATTTATTTTAAATCTATCCTCTTTCTGTGATAGTAACGCAATGGGACTTACTATTTGTCTTTCTCTCCAGGTATACTTTTGGACATCGAGTCCAGCTTTGCCAGCCAGTGAAGAGGGATTCCAACCAATGCCCAGCATAACAATCCGACCTGCAGATGATGACCATTTGCCCACAGCCAATACCTGCATCTCTCGTCTATACATCCCACTGTACTCAACAAAAGCCATTCTTAGAAGTAAAGTTCTTCTAGCCATAAAGACCAAGGCCTTTGGCTTTGTTTGAATCGTCATCTGTTCAGGAAGATATAAATTTTCCTGATTTACCATAAAGCGGCTGTGACTAAATAAAATTGACACCAAACAAGAACTGACAACCCAGCTTCTGTAGGACTCTGGTGATCATGGTCTTTTCATAACTGGCTACATGGATGCCTTAGATTTGAAATTCACTCATTAAAATATAAACATGCATAAAAACTAAACAGTATTTACTGTTATGGGTGGAAAAACAAAAAAAAGCCTCGGTTGCTGAATAATCAGCTGTTATGTAAAAACTTAAAGAAGCCATCAGTGAATTTTCATTTTTAAAATGGCTTCCATTTATATTAAAACTGAAAATAAATTATGAAATGGCTCTTGCTTATGGAAACCAATTTACACAAACTAAAATTGAATACAAGACAAATGCCTGGTTTATCTATTTGGGTAAAATCTAGGAAACGGAAGAGGAAAAAAAATCTTTCCTTTTAATGGAAGTTGAGAAAATGTCAGTTTTTAGTTTTGTTTTTGTTTTTTTTTTTTTTCTTTATTTCATAAAATTTTTTTTATTATTATTTATTTTTTTAATCATGTGACTTGACTTTCTTCCTGAATTTTGTTCTTAATACATTTGTCTCAGCTTCCAAAATATATTCTCTCTAGTTTAAGAAAAAAAAAAAAATAATAATCTTAAGGGGTTTCATTTTCTCATTTCTCTAATTTACTCATCAGCCCTACTGTAAACTGACTTCTCCAGTAACTAAATTTATTCCCAGTGCTGAGGAACTAGTGGCCCTGAATACATTCTGCCATTTTAAATTTTAATCTGATATACTTTAATGATACTGTAAAACTACCCAGGACAATCATGGCTAGAAGTCGAAGGTAATCTGGCTGTCTCTCATTAACCAGAAAACTATTTTTACATAACAGAATCTATCAAAAATGTTTGTGTTTGAAATTTTTTTTTTTTTTCTTCCTTTCTCTGTTGAAACTCCTTTTTTTTTTTTTTTTTTTTCTTCTCTTGTGCATTTATATGTACTATATAGGTTCCTGCCAAGTGTATCCATTTGGTAATAAAAATCCCATTTTATTTGATCTGAAAATTTGGTGTTTATGTGCATCTGTGCACATTGCATCTGGTCAAGTCTCATCAGCATGAAAAAAAACAAAAAAAAAAAACAAAAAACAAACTTGAGTGATACTAAAAAAAATCCCAATAAACTTGGTATTATAATCTTTCTGTCTATTGTTGTGCTGTTAGATGGTTTCAAGAAAAAAAATTTAAATCTGATCTTTAGCAGTGTTCAAGTAGATTTTTATTTTCAGTTCTATTAAAAGTATTAATTTAGTGGCATCAAATGTTTAAAGTGACTTGACTTTCTGTAATGTCAAGCCAGTTCAGCTTGCAACATCCTCCCCGCCATCTTTAAACAACTTTTACCACGTAAATAAGAAACTAAATGGAATTCAGTGACAAATTTATTTTTCAATTACTCTCTCCAACTTTTTTTTTTTTCTTCTCTCTCTCCAATACCATGAGTAATGATTTTAAAACTGCTATATTATAATGAAGGGACAAGGAAAAAATCCTAACATTTTTATCCTTACATCTTTTAGGTTAGGATCAATTGGCTGCCGATCTCCAACACACACAAGAATTACATCAAGGAACTGCTGATATTAATGTTTGCAAATCTTACCCATTTTTTTTTAAGATCTGGGTTAATCTATTTTTCTTGTTTTGTCTTATAAAGTAGACTTTTGCAAAGCTGCTTTTTTTTTTTTTTTTTTTTTTTTCTCTTGCTTGGTAACACGTGCATCTTAGTGGCTTTATTGCATTGCTAAAAGCACTTTTTAGGATGTCACCATACATTGCAGACTATTTGCTTGGTTGCTAGAAGCAGTGGGCAGGATTGGAGTTGTACCTTACTAGACTTTAGCTGAGTAAGTCAACTTTTTTTTTTTCTTGTGTGTGTTTGCACATTAACAAGTTTTGTATTACATAAATTCTAGATATATATATTGTATTAATTATAATTATTATTAATATAATAAAATTCCCCCCAAGTCTCTGGCTAATCCCTCTCCAAACTTAGTTCTGGTGTGGCTTTTTTGCAGGGAATATAAAATTAAATACCGGTGTTGCTGGTAGGCTTTAAAACTAGCTTGGGATTCTTGCTACTTTTGCAGTACTGTAATCTATATTAATGGTTTATGAAGTCTTGGTAGCTTGTTTGTGATTCAACCCCCTATTTATGGAGTATCTTACATTTCTGCATGTAATGAGCTGTCATATAAGGATATGAATGGCTAGTAAATTAAGTGAGGTTTATAATGTTCTTGTATGCAGATATATCACAGTTTACTAACTTTGTACAGCTGACTATTAATGAACAAATAATTCTTGGCAGTCTCCGAATTGTCTGATTTCCTTGTCACCCTTTGTGTTCCTTAGACAATTGGCCTTTATCCTGATATGAGTAAATAATCTCAAGTTCTCTATTGTTCCAGTGTCTGAAAACCTGATTACCCTAATAGTGACAAGTGGCCCAAGACCCTGAATTTGACTCTTAACTATAATTCAACATAGAATTTGTTGACTAGCAGAAAAAGAAAATCTTCATTAAGTTGGCTGTTCCATCATTTACTAGTGGTTTCTAATTAAGAATTTTTCTCCTCTCTTATTGATACCTTTCATGAATTAAAGTAGATTAGAAAAAGTTACCTTTTAATATTACAAGCTGAAGCCCTTCCAAAAGACATTTTGGGCAGAAGTGAGGAACTTACCCAGTTATAAATGTGTGTACAAAGAATATTAATTTTAGGGAAGAGAACTGCCTCCCAAACCAGCTCACTTGAAAAAAGACACGCACTCAAAAAAATACTTTTTCTGTTCAAGCACCCTTTATTTTATTTTTTTTTAATTTATTCTGCATAAATGTGTTAGGAAAATCACTTTAGTGTTGGTCTTTTAATCAAATCTCTTTTCAGTGTAGCAAAAATTGTTCTTTTTCACATTGTACGATACAGTGTTCAGATCTTGGTGTCTCTGTCTCTTTCTCCCAGCAGCTGTGTTTGCAGGTGAAGATTAAAATAGTTCCAAATTCAACTGCATAGTCTGTAATTTAAATAAATTAACACTAAAAAAAAAAATTGAAGTTAGGGAAGACCTCGCTAACATTTAGTAACCTCCAATGGCCACAGTGAGGTATGAATAATTTCTTTCACCCCATGCAAGGAGTTATGAAGAGGGAACGGTAACTGAGAAAATCATTAATAAGAGATATGATGATTGTCATATTTAAATGTTTGTAGATTGTAAGGCAAGAATCCAGAACAACTTATGGTTACATCTTATAATTTCAACATGAAAATGGCAATCCAGTACTACATTTAAGTTTGTAAAGAGTAAAAGACCAAGACAATACTTCTTAAAAAAAAATGGCACCTGGAAGTGATTGAAACAGATGACAGGACCAGTAACATTGCTGAAAATCTCTAGATGCAAAGTAGGAAGCACTATCAGACCAGATGTAACCAACATATTTAATGCAAAGATGAATGGTTGACAAATGTTTAAGATGTTTCTCACAACACAAAAAGGAAAAAAATTCAAATGTATATAGTAAATCAAATATATTTCAGTCTAATATTGTCAACAAATTTAGACCTTTGTGCCAGCAAAGTGTTTTAAAGATGGATTTTCTTTATTTTTTTAACAAGTTGATTAAGAATTGATAAATATTAAACACTATTAGATTATTTACAACATTGTAAAAACTAATACAATATGTCATTTACCAATTTTTAAAGAAATAACTGACACTTTATTTTATTCATAAACTTGTAAACATTTTGCTAAATTATTAAAACACACAAACCAACTATAAGGAAATCCTTATTTACTATTCTATAAAGTTCAAATTGATTAGCTAATTGCCAATCTTTTGTCAACTATTCTAATAGAATGTGCATAAATTCACATCATATTTAGGTTTTATTACAATGCTAATCATTGCTTTTTTTTAAACAGTGCTGAGGAGTGAAGGCAGTTAAAATGTGTACAGAAAGGTGTTGAAAAAAAAAAAAAAAAAAAAAAAAAACTTTATGGAAAGTAAAAGGTATCAGATACAAAGACTGAAATATTAGTTGAATAAAGTCAGGTTTTCACACAACTCAATTCATACATGATTTTTTACAAAACTTTTCTGATGGATTTTAAAAAAAAGCATTAATAATCTAAACACTTGATGCCACTAAACTGGCTTGGCTTTCTCACTAATGTCAAGCCAGTTCATCTTGCATGCCTCCCACCATCTCTTCATGTAAATAAGAAACTAAAAATGGAATTCAATGACTTTTTGAATCCTCCTCTTTCATTACTGTCATTATCCTTCCACCACCCCCCTTTTTGAAATTATCATAAGTAATGGATTTTACAACTGTTATAGTATAATAAAAGTACAAGGAAAAGATCCTTAAATTTTTATCCTTGCATATCTTTCACTTCTATTAGGAACTGATCTCTGAGATATAGTGTATGGCTGTGTCAAGAAACTGGCAACAGTAATGTTTCCAAATCCTGCCCTTTATTAAATAACACATCTGGATTAAAATTTTTATCCTTCACATTACAAACTAGATATTGATTCCTTTTATTTATTCATGCCTCATTTAACAATAACAAAAAAAACTTTAAAATACCAAATCTCCCCTTCAGTAACCCCTTGCATTTTAGTGGCTTTATTGATTTGCAGGTCATACACTGGCACTAATTATATCTTCACTCAAGAAGTATTTTTTTTTATTTCTCCAGAAGTGGAGTGTCCATGTGAACAATCTTCACTTAGGCTCATGTTTTTAATTGGTCTCTGGAGAGGATGCCATTATGTGGGTCACATTTGTTCTGAGGTGTGGTCAACTTATTGGTTGGTGGTGGCACCATGATGGTGTGGGATGTTTATATAGCATGGGTTGAGTCTACTGATCAACTTAAATACACTAAGTTGTGGATCCCAACAACAGTCATTTCTTCTTACAGGATGATGACCCTCACTTGCCTGTCTTGATAAGAGTTTAACAGTGTCTACACGGTTTTGTGGGTGATGAAGTATTTTCTACTCTACACCCCCCTTACCACGGATGAAACCTTGTAAGCCTCTTGCTACTTTATCACTATTTACATGGCATGTGCTCTAACAAGCTAGATTCCTTAGTTTCCCCAGCCCTGACCTTTGCAACTAGGACCGAACATACCACATACACAAGTATGAATCATTGTCATTTCTTTTGTTACACTCAAGCAGCAGGTTCTCATGAACCACTGGCTGTGGAACCAACTTTCAAGACGTTGTTTCCCCAGTCACTACAATCTTAACCTGTTCAAGTTTATGTATTCCATTAGTAAGAAATAAGTTCCATTTGGACATCTTCCCAAGAACTGCTTTGTGGGACAGACTCCCAGCAGCATTATTTTTTTTTTTTTAACTAATGCTCACCCAGTACAAGGCCCAAGAGCCACTCAAGGTAGAGGGTTACTGTATGGAGCTGAAGTAGACTTTAGAAGGTACTGAAAACCCACTCCTGAACATGGATAAACTACTCCTCTTCAAAAGACCTGGAATGAACCTATTTACTCCAACCAATCACAACAATCTTGACCTCTTCAAGTCTACAGTTAAATATCTTTCCTACATAACTTCATGTCTGTTTTTCTTTTGCTCATACAATGCTACACAGTAACACAATCTTGAGTATCTCTTGAGTCTTGTATTCGGTGAACATTAGTATGAAATAAATATCAATGGGACCAAGTTGCCCCAAATTGGTTTGAGGGTCATTCTAAAGACTTCCAACAAATGATGTGGTCACAATATTCACCAGACATGAGCTCAAATTAAGCATTTATGCAATATATAGAGGAGGGGGTCTATTCATTACAAGATCTTCCATCTACAAATTTTGTTCTTTGCTGTATGTATGGCAAGCTAAAAAGAAAAATTGTAACATATCTACTTCATTCAGTACTGATATTGTACTAGTCTATAACTAACTATGAATAGGATAGCCACTCATTTGACCAAAAGAGGAATATAAAAAAAACTTTTGGGAACAAGTGACAACAAAACCAGACATTAAGGATTTCCAGTTACAGGCTTATATTAACAGCCAAAGTTGAGATTGAAGTAGTTCAGTTCTGGTCAGGGACAGACTATCCTTTAGGTTAGTTCCAATGCCACCTGTTACTGTTTCCAGCCAAGTGTTATGAAGTTGAAAGGATGGAGAGTTGTGGGGAAAAGCTGATCTGTTAGAAGTAGTAAAAGTTGTCTTGAGTGTCGCTTACCTACCTACACACCCAAACCATGCAAGAGAATACTTAAATTAAATAACTAAATACTGGTCATCATTTCTCACTATGGATGTTTTTTTTATTTTTATAGTGAAGAAAACGGTGACTTAACTTGTCAAACCAAGCGACAGTGTGTCGCATGTATCCTACGACAAAAAATGTGGTGAAAAAGAAAATTACTTACAAAAAAAAGAAAAAGGGCACGTATTCCACATGACATGCTGAAGACGGAATATTTTAGAAACAAGTCAGTTGCAGGAGTTGCGATAAAAGTATTTTGATACGCAAAAATTGAGCATCCTCTCCCAGTTGTTGACGAATGAAAAAAATGCTTGGCCAATAAAAGCAAAAGAGAAAATAAAATTTGGGAATTGGTCTACCGCATTCGTTGGAGAGTGAGTTATTTTTCTGACTGGTTATGTGTATTGTGAGATAGTAACTACAAATTGAGTTTTCGGTATTTCTTTCTGCCTCGATGTTCGAGTATGAACTTACAGTGATTTATTCTCTGCGTTGTGGAAGTAATCTGCGACAAATATTTCCTTTGCAATCCCACTCAGATCACTTACAATTTTGTTTTTTTGTTTTCATCTGTTGTTTCCTTGTAAGCTTGCAACAAGCCTTTTCATAAGTTTTGATTTTTTTCAATACAAATGAGAATATAGATGCAATTTGGGGGAGTCATTCCCTGGTTATTGGAAAACTGGGTGAGGGAACTGCTGTTGTATGTTGACAAATGCTTGTTGCTTTGGGAGTGGGGGTTGTGAAAAGTTTAAAAAAAAAAAAAACTAACCTTGAGAATCAGGAAAAGTGAGAGCAGACACAAGGGCTGGCATTAATTGCAACTCAAACTGGCGATCAGAACCACAGTGCATACATTTTCCTGGTTGTAACTGCTCAGATGTCAAAGGTAATGCTGCCCCGCCAAGATTATATCTAGCAAAAAAAAAGAAAAAAGCATTTATATGTATATTTTCATGCAAGTTTCATTAAATATGACAGACAAGGTGTTTTGAACAAGTTTTTTATATAATTTCTCATGTGACCTAATTTGACAAGAAGGCTCCCACTACATCTTTCTGACCATAGCTCAATTAGGTTTCATTTAAAGACTCATGGAGACTTACTGGACTCTATTCATAATGTACTTGTTGATAACACAAATATAATAGCATCGTCTACATGTTTTAAAAAAAAAAAAAAAAAGCTTAAAATAATGGAAACATTAATAATAAAAAAAAACCACTAAATATCAACTATGGGGTAAAATGGATGGTGTTTATTACATTGTTGCTATCTGTGACTAGAATGGTGGTATGGATGTTGTGAAAGGAGGGAATCTTGCAAGATGAACATTCACATAAGGATCTGGTTGTTTTCTTTAAGCCTCAGCTTAGGGTGAAAATCAGGTCTGATAGAAAGAATTTGATTTTGACAGATTTCAGTAAAAAATGGGTGACTAGGGTGAGCCTGGTTGGTGTGGACGGGGCTAGCCTTGATTTTCTCTTTTAAAACCCCTTGATGTAATGGGCGGTTTCCTGTGAATTCATCCTCTGGTTAAATTAGACATTGTTTTGTTTTTTTTTTGTTATGTAAATAAGTTTTGTTCCAGCCTGTTTCCTGGTATTCTCTTTTGTCATGGCCCATGTTGAGATACCCATTTTTTTTTTTTATCTCGACAGGGTCAGCCTTTGATTTTCCCCATTCCGTCATTTATTTTTATCCTTTCCCATTCCATTAGTGAGTGTACTGGATTCTGTCTATTGACAGAATACAGCAGCCACTCTTATTATTGGGGAGGGGGGGCGGTTCCTACTAACATTGTTTTATTTTTTTTCTTTGGTTTACTGCTTGAGTTTGCTGTCGGCATTCATCTCCCCTCCATCATTTCATCTTTCATGAAATTTTTATATATTTCTGTAAAGAGACTATGAACATCATAAATTTTTACATCATGGTGTGTGTTTTGTAGGCCCCCTTTTGAATATGTGGTATTTTGGTATATGTAGGATTATGTGGTGATGGACAAGTTCTTGTGGTGATTGAGTATATTGTATTGAATGAATGGGTTGTGATTTTGGTTGACTAGGATAGTCAATGAAGATCAGCTTTTTCCCCTATGTCCTCTTCAACCTTGTATAACAATTTTGTATTTATTACAAAATAAATATTCTCAATAATATCAACTACGAACATGGACGCAATATCTTGACTGTGTTTTAAAAATAAAACATTATATAAATGCATACATACATACGACAATCTATTTCTAGTTAACAATTAATATATTTTAACTTTGAAAGTCACTAAATGTATAGCCAAAAACACTTGGAAAAAACATTTGGACAGTTTTTATATAATTTATCTATATAATTTATAAGATCACATGAGAAATTGCATAAAAACCTTAATCAAAGCACCTTGTCTGTCATATTTAATGAAACTTGCATGCTTGCTGCCTAAATACACAGTATACATACATACATATATATATGTGTGTGTGTGTGTGTGTGCATGTATGTGTATGACTGCCTGTTTGTAGAATGTATAATAGTACCCAAAATGAAAGTGGAGATAGTGAGAAAGGGGAAGAGTTTTTTAACAACATGTTTTGCCAATGTGGTGTGTTATATTTGGCTTCTTCAGGTTTGAAAAAAAAAAAAAAACTGTGTGTAATGAAAATGTGTCGGGGATTTTTGAGGATAAGTGGAACAATAAATTAAATTACCTTATCAGTTCTGATGACCACAAATCAGAAAGTGTTTGCTTGTTTATGTAATATATATCTTTAAATTTAATATGCCACATATAATTTTTTTTTTTTTGGTGTGTAACAATTCAGGGACAGTGTGCAAAATGTTGACATGCAACACGCAGAAGTCATGACCCCATTCACGTCCACATGCAAAAAGCTACTACACTGACAGACTATAAAGCAAACTCCTTCTTTCCCTCTCTCTGTGAACTACAATCAAAGTAAAAGGAGTGATGGAAAGTAGCCATGATACACAGCTGTGAAGAACAAAAGAAAAAGAGGGGGAGAATAGAAAGGGAGAGAGAAAAGAGGTAAATATGTTCAAGACAGTTTATATTTTATTTCAACTTGAATTAAACTTCACATAAAGTTACTTTTCTTTGTGGTGTCTTAGATTATCGGATCAAATATCACTAGCAATGATGTCCTAATTTCTCTGCAAATTTGACTCTAAAAACACTCAAAGTGTGTCACAAAAGTGGTGCATGTATGCACACACACAATGAGGATAACATACGGATATCTTTCTTGAGGTGTTTATAAATTGTACACTGTTCAATTATTAACATTAACAATGAAATATTTTAAATTACAAAATTGTACTCTTCCTACCATCAATCAGGTGCTTGTTGATCCAAATGCTGACAATGAGGATGACAGTAGTCCATATGTATATAATGAGAACTCCTCATCCCAGAAATTTACACAGAATAAAAGGGAATGATTAAGTCTTAGATGTTGTCTGGAGGGGGGAGTTTAAACATACATACATACATCTTTATTTCTCAATTTAATTATTAGGCAAATACAAGGGGATCAGTATATGTCAATATTTCTGAGATGAGGTATTATGTACACTATTTACATTATTCAGACTATTGTCCGAATCTTTGTCGCCATGTTTATCACATTTTGGCCATTGTACACTCTGGCCTTCTTCAGGTGGTTGGAATGTTGAACTCAAGGACACATGGCACAGTGGATAAAGGCGTTAGTCTTTGGGTCCTGTCATTGGATCTAACTGAGTTCAATACCTGGTTATGGCAGTGGAGAACTTTGAGAGGGGAATTAACAGGATATAACTGACATCCATTAGACATGGCACATGGAACTAGAACAGTCTACCCCAGTGAGCAAAATAAAGGGTTCAGTTCGACATTCCAACCACCTGAAGAAGGCTGGAGCATACAACAGCCGAAATGTTGTGATAAACATGGCGACAAAGATAGGACAATAGTCCAAATAATGTAAATAGTGTACAAGGGGATCAGTCCCCCCCCCAACCATCATGAATTTTGCCTGTAATTAAATTATTTATCATATATTTTAGATTTTGATTTCAAAATGAAAAAATTGAGATTTCTTACCTGACACACTGCTCGGGCCAAGAAGACACCGTCTTATGGAATTTGTAGAAACCTGTATCTTTATACTTGATATCATCACTCTCATAGTCTTCTGTATCTACTGATATTTGTTGTCCAGACCTGGGCAGATGCAAATGGAAGTGGCTGACTTGATTTTCAAGAAAATGTTGGAATAGTTATTTTTTGTATAAAGTTTTATTTCTTTACATTAAAAAAAAAAAAAAAAAATTTAGTTTTTTTTAAAAATTGTCTAGAAGATGTCCGTTTCATAATAACCATGTAATAAAATATTTCTATGTTTTGATTAGAACTCTTATCAGTAGTGTACTGGGGTTTAAAAATACTGGTTGCCAGAAAACAAAGTGAACTTACCCACAAGTATAATGCTGTCATTTAATTTTCATAATGAATAAATAACATTTTCAAAAATATCCGTATAGAAAAAAAAGAGTACAATTTAAATCTTTGTCGTAAAAATGTGTATTTCTTAGTAATTACAAGGACTGGTATATATACCAAATATAAATACAGGCTGTTATATTTTATTTTTTTTTTTAATTTTAAGTAATTGGTTGATAATTTTAAATAGTTTAATTCCTAATTTACACATTAACAGATAGTTCAAAAGCACAATGGAGCATTGCATTCAGTTCATTATATTAAGAGCAATTGTTTGTGTTCACTCAATGTTTGTGCGAATTTGCTAATAATTGCTACTGAATCCAATTTATCTAACAATTCCTTTGCAATAGATAACAACATGCAGGATTCCAAATTCTCCTTAGCGAATTCCTTAACCTTGTATTTATGATTTTTAAAATAGAAAACGTCTTCTTACATTGAACTTGAATAACTGATAGTGTGCAGAAGACTTTATAAAGTTCTTATTCCTTTTTATTACTAAAACGGTTGTCTGTTTAGCATTTTTATTTGATATAGGGGGCCCATTTGCCATTGAGCAAGCTGATACTGGTCAGTCTGTGACTGGATGTCAAAGTTCCTCTTATGAATGAATGAAAAAAAAAATAAAAATAAAATAAAGGATTTATTTTAATGGATTAAGCTGTATATATTCCAAACACTCTTGTGTTGTGCCAGGGAGCTTTATCAGTTATGCTTATTTCTGGTCCGATTGGGAAATTCTAACCTCTCAAAACATCAGACCCCTCCCTCTCCAGATGACCCAGCTAGTAACAATCACCTCCCAGCCAGTGAAATGAAACCCTGTATCTTGGGCTGAGCTATCAGTTTCATTCTTGTTTTTTTTGCCAATGAAAATTCACTATTTACATTATTCAGACTATTGTCCTCATCTTTGTTGCCATATTTATCATGTTTCGGACGTTGTATGCTCTGGCCTTCTTCAGGTGGTTGGAATGTTGAACTGAACCCTTTATTTCACTCGCTGGGGTAGACTGTTCTAGTTCCACATGCCATATCTAATGGATGTCAATTATCAGTTATCTCCTGTTAATTCACTTCTCCAAGTTCTCCACTGCCTTAACCAGGTATTGAACTCACTATTTGGGTCCTGTCACCGGATCTAACCAATGCCTTTATCCACTGTGCCATGTGTACTTAAGGACACATGGCACAGTGGAATTAGAACAGTCTACCCCATAAATAAATTTCAGAGCTGGCTGAATATCTCAAGATTTGTTCATTTAAAAAAAATTAACATGAATAGCAGCTGTGACTTAAAATATTGATTTCTCACATCACTTATTTAGGAGATGAGTACCCTAAAAAAAGTAGTAAGAGTACAGTTTATAGCAAGCAATAATAAATGTCCTGACTCACCAGAAAAAAAAAACAAAAAAAACTTAGTGCTTTGAGAGGTCATTTAGGAAAACTGTGGCAGAGTAACCACCTCACTCTAGATTTTAGTAGTACATGAATGTTTTGAGGCTGGAGCGAATAAAGTTAATCAAAATAAGTAGAGAAAACTATAACAAAATGAAACGCTTAATTAGATTGTATACAAAAATGCTTGATTAAGGCTTTAGATTAGAATTGGGGGGAGCTGAAACCTGTATCACTAATTTAAAAGCTTGTGTATGTGACATAATCTCTTGAATGACCAAGTGAGCTAAAATTATCCAAATATTTCCAATTCACCCAAAACACATATTGCTTGACCTTACTTTGAGAAATAAAGATATCTTAGGGTCTATCTAGCAGGCCCCCAGCTAACCAGTTAAGGGCATCTGGTTTTTGTAAAGGGATACTTCTTTGTCTGAGGAAAAGACCTTCAGTGTCTGAAGGCTTTGCAAACAGTAAGGTCTGTTTTGTCCTTTGGCTACCACAAGCTGTCAAAAGGTTACACTCACTCTTGGTTGATTTTCTACTAAGATCTCGAAGTACTGGGTGTCTGTGTGTTGGAGATTCTTTTAGATTGAGGTGCACAGAATAAAAAATGTTCTTTCTGAATGCAACAAACAATTGTTAGGCACAAACTGACTTATGGGCTTGGTACATTTCAGCATGGCTGATTTGGCATCAGAAAAATAATTGGACTATTCAACAGTGATTCAGGTGTCAGACTGTTTCTATGTCAATGTCTTTGACCAGAGGCAACTCCCCCCACAAAAAAGGATAAAAGAATTGAAAACACTCAACTTTCAACATGCCTTTTTATTTATTTAGGGAATTAAGGATCCTATTAAAACACTAATGGAATAATGTAAATTAAAATCTTAAAAATATTGTATTTCAAAAAAATTAAAAACCTTAGTAAAGCTATTTAATCTTAGAAATTACTTTTTCATTTCATAATTATGAGCAACACTCTTCGGGAATTTAATAGGATCTAATGATTCAACTTCCATTATGACTTTTTTTGGAATAAAAGGGCTTTGATGACTGAAAAATATGAAGCAACACTGAAGGAAATATAAAAATACTTCCAACCACGAAGCACTAATTTGACTACTAAACGAGAGAGAGAGAGTAAATTTGATTATAATGATGAAGTAATAATCTGATCCCTAATAGCCCCTCTCCTGAAAAATTACTCTGTTGAATTGGCTACACCGAATCAGCAATGCTAAATGGGCTATGCTGGAATGTCCCATTCCCGACTTATACAGACATTTGTTCTGGATAATGACATTGATGGATGTCACCTTCTCATAAAGACCCTCTTGCTAGGAAACCAGATAGCTAAAAGTACATTTGTTCAAACTTGGCCCCTCTAAAATTTCCCTTTGACAAGATTCTGGGCTTAGGCATTTCGGTAAGAATCAGTAAATTTGTTGAGTAGCCTGTTAAATAAATATTTCCCAGACTTAGCAAGTTTTGCAGAATTTTGGTAAATCAATTCTTGCTACCACAACTTCCTTGGGGATGAGAAAATTCACTTATACTGAATTTACGAAATCTTACCAGATTTAATCTGGGTTCAAATCCCACTGATACCCACCTCATAAGCATTTTATAGGATCTGGTTAACATGATTAAACCAAACTTTCTTTGATCAGGTTCCAATCTGGTTAATGGTCTTCTATATTTTTTCCACTTAGTATTCCTAACTCTCTCAACACCTCAAATCATTAAATGATGTTTCACGCATTATAAAGCCATCAGTTCTATTGGCCTGTTACGCTTTATTTTCTACCTTTATCTTAGGTAATGGAAATGTCTTTAACTTACTCTTATATAAGTAATCTAGTGGGGATAGCATGAAGAGTTTGTACGGTCTTTCAGGGTCAGGTTTAATTTTACCCTCATAAACCCATTTTTACAGTGATGTTCACTCTGTAAAAGGCCACTTGACATAGAGCGTTACAGAGTTAGAGGCACAGTTTATGTGGATATGGGTAGAAGATAATGGTTAACCTTAGAATTGAACAGATTAAGATTGCAGTGATCGGGGAAAACATCCCTTTGGGAGTCGGTTCCACGGAACAGCGTTTCATGGGAAGAAGCTAGAACTTACATCACACCAATGGAATACCAAATGAATAAAGGTGGTTCACTGCAATGTGTGTAGCATGGTGAGTCTTAGCTGTGAAGGTTAGGACTAGTGCATCTAAGGAATGTTGTCCATCTGAACACTTGCCATGGAAAGAGTGACAGAGCAGTGAAAGGCTTGCGATGTTTCATTTTTGAGAAAGGGGTTTTAGGGTGGAAAATCATTTGTCACCCACAAGGATGTGGAGAAGCTGTTGGTCGCTATAGAGAATGGAAAGTGAAGACTGGGCAGATCCTGCCTATAGATGGCAGCAGGCCTGATTTAACTCTTGTAAAGGTAGAGGTACACATAGGAATATCTTTTTTTTCAGGGCATGGGGATGTAAGGGAAGACAAACATCTGTCAGCAGGAAATTGACAACCATCCTTTTAATGTGCTGTTCATTAATGGTCAGTACAACTTGTGCTTGTCTCAATTATCTCTTTTGCAAGTTTCCTCTACCTTGCAGCTGAAATGTGTTATTGATCTGGAGTCGGATGTGCAGGTTTAGACTCCACTTGATTTTGTTAGGCTCACTTTCATACAAATGCCCTTGCTAAAATGTAGGAATCCAGCTCTTCTCCCCCACTTTGGGTTAAATACCAAGATAGACTGGACTCTCTAGCTCTGATTGGAAGAGGAAAACTCTGAATTTAAATCTTATTCACCTGAAGTTGTACAAGGATTATTAGAGATTCGGGTGTAAAACAAAGACTTGATTGATGTTTTCTCTGGAGAGTAATTATCCGAAATATTGCAAACATCAACCCCCAAAGAAAGTGGATATTTGAAGAAGTATATTTCCTAAATTTCATAGCTACAATCAGGATGATGAATAGTTGCACCATCAATAAGGCTGGTGTTTCCTGGAACTGTAGTCTTCTGCAAGAATCAACAGTGATAAATCAACTAAAGCATTTTTGAGTAATTTTTATTCAATTTTATATTTGTAATTTTACTATACACATACAGCATGCTGTTGGAAAATCCTTCGTTATCCTAATAAAGGTGTCAACCACTTATATAAAATTATAATAATTATAGGAAAGGTATTTAGTGATGTCTATATGTACATGATTGATTTGTGTATCATTGAATGACTCACTGGAGTACAGGACAAATGGAGAGTATCCATATATTATTTTTACTACATGAATTATGATATTAAATATAAGAGATAGATATTAGTAATGGCATATAAACATTTTTATGAAGGGGTTCCCTGAGACATGAAAACCATTTCAAAGTTGACACAAGGGTAAAGAGGTTGAGGAACAACGGTCTATTGGGACACAAGTTCACCCCAGATCTCAAGCGGAATTTGTATAAACAATCCATTGCTAAAGATTTTGGAAAAATAGTTTGCTCCTTGTACTCCTCCAGAAAGTCCCTAACTCCTGCTTATGGCCTGTTCCTTACACTCTTCCAGAAAGTCCCTAACTTCTGTCTATGATTTGTTCCTTGGACTCTTTCAGAAACTCCCTAACCCCCATGCTTATGTTCTGTTCCTTGTACTCCTCCAGAAACTCCATAACTCTTCCTGCTTATCTTTACAACAGTCAGATTAGACAAAAAAATAAATAAAATAAATAAATAAAATAAAAAAAAGGAGCATCTCTGCCATATCATATCTGTACAGGAGATGGCCAATCCTCACTTTTTAGACTTAGCAAGAGTTCAAAAGACTTTATGTGGCCTATTTTAAGCAAAATAGAAATTATCTGTACTGAGAAAGTGTGATGTGATGGGGCAAAATGATTTTCAAATTCAGCGTGAAAAAATAGCCCAGAAACATGTGCCTATTGCTCAACAATATTTGGGTCAAAAAAAAAAAAAAGAAAAGAAAAAAAAGTCAACCAGTGTTATCAATGTGTATTATTTATACATTTCCTGTCCCGTCTGTAGTGCAAAGGGAGGTAAATCAAAAGTTAGTAAATTTATCAGTGATTACTTACTTCTCTTAGTCATTTTAATAATTTGGATGTGTGCAAATGATACAATGGATTACAGCCCCTGATATTCCCAAGTGGGCACCCATTTAGTTATTGACCAGGATTGACATTGCTTAACTTCAGTGATCATACAGGAACAGTGCATAATAGATAAGAAAAAGATTATCGCAAACAGTAAGGCCTTAACAAAACATTAAGTAAACTAGTGACTTATATAAATGGCTTGTTATTATGAGAGTAGTGTTGGTCTATAATACAAAAAGTGAATGAATGACTTACTTGACAGAAGTTAGCATGTTTTGAAAGGTTTTTCCTTCTTTCTTGCTGTAACTTTCAAGCAATTCCTTCACATGTCGTGTTGGTGCCTCTCTGTCACAATCTTCAAACACATTTAAATAATAAGAATTAAGGTGGGTATTCTGGAGATTTGGCTGCTCAACCCCTGTGTGTTCAGATGCCATCAGCTTCAACATACGAGAAAGACTTTCCTGGGACATTGCTGCATCTTCCCTGTAAACTCCATCCACTTCAGATATAGGCATTGACCTTTTTTTTGGAAAAAAATACATAAAATGCATGAACTCTTAAATATGTGTAACACTTTCAAAACAAAAAAACAAAAAGCAACTAGGGCATAACTGCTACATCTATGTAATAAATGCAAATGTCAATGTGTCACATTTTTTCAACTTAAAGGGACACAACTCTCTAACTTTCAATAGCTCATTTCAAAAGAAAAAATTACTGTTCTCAAATTACAGTGTTTCAAAATAAAATTGTCCATATTTTCAGCTTTACTCCTAGAGGCTGTAGCCCAACATATCATACCATTTTGGAATCAGGCCAACGCTATGAGAAATTAAAAACATTCTGAGTCAGATCCAGACCCGCAATCCTGAAATTTTGGATTCCCAAGTTTTCATTACTGGTGATTTTTTTTATAAATAAAAGATAATCCTTATCCCAAATGTGAATACCTATGTCATCAGAATAGCTTCCATCCCTCATCATCAATACACTGATCTCAGGAGAAAAACAGGAATTTATTTTTATTAGTCGATGCATTTGAGACATAGTACAGAATGCTTATTTATTGCAAAGAAACTTTTAAAAACATACTTTAACTCAAGAATTTTATTATTCTTTCAGGATGTAGGCGAACATGATCTTAGTACATACTAGGTACCAAGCTTGCCCAGGTGTACATGACTGAAATTGCATAACTGCACCCCCCTGTATACCTGCTTGCATGCATCATCTGCTGGTATACTAAACTTTTCCCCCACACTCATTTTTTTTTTTTACAGTATGTCCTTCACATGCATTTGATTATTCTTAATAAAGGAATTCCATCAATAAAACCTTATTGTGTGGTTGTTGCTCAAGGTTAAATTGTTTCAGTGTTTTAGATATTCAGTAAATTTCCTATGGCCGTAATAGTATGGCATTGTTCACAAATCTAATAATCAAGCAAAAACAGGGATAAAGTGTCAGAGCTTGATTCAGCTGCAAGTGCAAATGCATGAATGCCTCTCTCTTTCTTCACACTCTTACTGTAAAGCAAAGGTTGATAAGAGGTTCTTCGGAAATTTTTCCCTTTTAACAATTCAATAATCCTTCTCAAACAATCTCTGCATCGAAGGTATTTCAAATGCCAATTTAGGATGGTTTGTTTTGTTTTATGGCATATCAATCTCAATGGGTTATTTAATACCGATAATTTTTATTGTTGGTATTTTTTTTTTATTTTTTCTTTTTAAATGTGTTGCTAGTCATATTTTTTCCTTCAAAAAAAAAAAAAAAAATCTATTTCTGGTAATATTTTTTTCTTAAGTGTATTGCTGGTAATAAATTTTTTCTTCAAGCATTTATTGCTGTAATAATATTTTTACAAAGTATTTCTGGTATTAAAACCTATTTTTACACTTTCATAGTTTTGGGGGTCAACTATTTGCCCATAGCTGGTACCCTAACAGGGGCTACCACCCCGGGTCAGGATGAACCTGGGAACACCAGCAATTAAGAGGTGGTTCCACGCTCCTCAAAACCTCCTGATCAGAGGCCTTACTGCTGGACGTAGTTTATCATCTTACCCAGGATGTGGATGTAGCTTATTGTCATACCCAGGACAGCCAATTTAGGATGGAATCATATGAAGAAACTATTAGCTAAATGGCAAAAGCCAATTTTAGACCTATTTTGTTGCAGATTTTGTCCACTTAACTGATGGTTTTTTGTTATACACAGGGAAGCGAGCAGAACTAAAACCACACTGTCTCATTTCTTGCATGATGGCAAATTTTTTGCGACATATTTGAAGAAAATGGGATAAAAAAGGAGGAAGTTATTCAAGTTTTTAAGTAGTATGAAAAACATGATTTTTTCTGTTTTTTACAATATTTTGTGTGAAGCCAATGTCACAGGAAAATTATCATGCACTCTACATAAACCTTGTAACATGAACAATGTTTTGCATTAAGTGCAAAGAACATCAGCTCATCCAGTAAAATTTTGTTCATGTGTAACTTTGCCTTGGTTTTTGCAAAAGTCCATACCCACCTTCACTTTTATCGATTTTTCTGCCAAACCTAGGGGTTTGATTTCCCTGGAGAATAAAAAATTGGTCTTGACCAATGGTAAATTTGCAACATGTATGTAGAATTTCATCAAAATCAGTCAAGAAATGTGGATGTGCATAAATAGCATACACAAACACAGACAGACATACAGACATATTCTGTTTTATAGATATAAGATAATCTTGTCGACATTTGTCAAATCACTTACTCTGATGTCTTTTGTACTGGAGACATATCCTCTTCTGCTTCTGAAGATGACTCTTGTTCAGCAGCATCAAGAGTTAAGTCTTCATTAATCATTGTGGTAACCTCTTCAATGTCCTTCATCTTTTCAACATCCAAAGAAGCCTGTCCATCATTCTCATTATCATCTCCCCAGTCATCATCAGCAGCACCCCAGACATCCTTTTGGCTGTCAACTGCCATGGATGTGGAAGCAGTTGAAGTGAAACTCTCATCAAGTTTTTGTTCACGCAGAACTTTCCAGCTTTAAAAAGAAAGATTTTTTTAAACATGTCTTAAGACTATATTCAAATAAAAGATATGGATACACACACACATTTTATATATACTGGGTGTAACAACAAAATTGTTCAAATTGTGTAACAGAAAAATTGTTAGATTAAGCTCTGAACTGTTGTATCTTAGAAATGATTAAAGATATCTTACTGGAATTGTCTGAGGTTTTTTTTAACACTATTGGACTCCACTTTGAGCAATAAGAATGTATAATTACTCTATAAGCTTTACAGAAGTAGTGTGACAAAATCCTGTTTATCATTAATTAATCACAGCTGAGGATCAGAAGCTCATGAAGTATTGAAATAAAGTTCAAATACATATATTATTCAAGGATCTTTTTCCAACTTATTCAAGATGATCTTCATCCACTCTAACCTCCTAACTTTCAGTCCTGGAGTAACAAGGTGCCTCACAGGTTTCACATATGATTTCATTTTCAAGTCTTTTTTCACTGCTCATTGGACTCTCATAGCTGAAACTCCTCTCATCTTGGATCTTTTCTAATTGATCACTTTAGCTCTAAGCTGAAATGATGATCCCTCTTCCTGTTGTGACTTCCTGATCCAGTTTTCCTTTCTACTGTTCCCTCTCATTTAAACTTATTGACTTATTGAATTGATGGTTCTGAGTGGACTTTGAAGTTGAAAGCCAGAGTATGAATGTTGTTACCATTATTGAAGGCCTGAATGATATTTTCCTTTCACCATTGCTCAATTGGAAAAACAGTGGGATTGACACAAAACAATTTTAACTTGCTCTCTTTTTAGCT